AAAAATATTGACTGCAAGTATTAGCTTCTTTGGGCAGTAGGGTCAAACTTCTGGCGGAAAAGAGTTCTCCAGAGTCCCATTGGTGCATGGAAGCCGAGCATGCAGCTTTTTAGTTCACTCCCATTACGCCTCAACTTACACAGGAGCTCTGGAAGAGAATCTCCACATGGCAAGAAGGCTGTGGCTGCTGGGAGCAGTTCTGACCATTGCTTTCGGCCTCCTCTCAGGATTGCAATGCTCCAGGGACCTCGTGTCCTTGTTGTTCTCTTGCGGTAACAGGGCTTTTCTACACGAGGCGTTTTAACCCAGCACCTTAGCAAGGCTGCTTCTTCCGATTCCTTTGCAAGAGAAGCAGCAGGTCCTTTAGGAGACGTTTTCTCTAGGGGTTTGCATCTTCTGCCTCCTGTATGTTTCTGTGTGCTCTATTACACAGCCACAAAGTGGTGCTGTGGTACAGAGCAGCATTGTCAATAAACACAAGAGACTCTTGGTAATGACACGTTGTGGCATTTGGGATAATAGCGTATTCCCCCAGCTTCAAACACCACCACAGAAATGGGTGGAAAACACAAGAGAGGCCCTGGAGGAGGGGAAACCCAACTAAGGGACACGGCGCTTTCCATGAGCGAGGGACCGGGACGACTTCTTTTATATTTTTTATTTATTTTATATTGTTAATTTTAATTTTATATAGTTATTTTTGTATTTTATTGTATTTTATTGTGTTGTAAGCTGCCCCGAGGCTTCGGCAAGGGGCGGCATAGAAATGTTTTAATAAATAAATAAATAAATAAAAGGAGGGCCTTCTCTGTGGTGGCGCCCTGACTATGGAATGCGCTCCCCAGAGAGGTCCACCTGGCACCGTCATTATATGTTTTTCAGCGCCAGGTCAAGACCTTTTTATTTAATCAATATTTTAATATGTTTTAATTTTTAATTAAATATGAATTTTATTGTTGCATTTTATTAATTTGCAACCAGTGTGGATGGTCAATTTATCTATGTTGTAAGCCATCCAGAGACACAAGTAATTGGACGGCATACAAATTTTATAAATAAATAAATAAATAAAATACATGGCTTGTGTAGAGAAGCCTATTAAGCTGAAAGGTGTATGTGACTGAGCGGGCTGGAAGTGTTGAGAAGAGGCTGTCCTTGGACTGATGTAGCTTCTGTTAAAATGCATACGGCTGCCATCACCTGGCGGCTTCTTGCCACCTGGTTGCTTCTCTAGGGCTTCCTTGTGAATTCGATTCATAGGTAACATACTTGCTTTATTATACAGGTTCAAAGTTTGTAGGTTCTAGGGGTTTAATGGGACTTTCTTCCAAGGAAACACACCTAGACTCCGGCTCTTCAGCGTTCTCATTCTGTTTTCTTTCCAAGATGAAGTTGTACTGATATAATATCACAAGATACAACTATGAGATGTTTATACTTGATTATTTTTTTCCTCCCAAAGTTTGAAAAGGAGTTGCAAGACAGGATATGCCTCATTGAATAAAGGCTTTCAGCAATGAAAAGCTGGTTAATTCTACATAATACTATAAAAAACCTTTCCTACAAAATCGGTAGGTGTAAGCGTGAACCTGTTCCTTAAACATAAATATTTATATGGTAAACAAGCAGTTAGTGCATCAAGGTTGACATTTTCCAAGGTTTTTTTTTAACCTTGTTCTTCATTTTTTATTTATAGATGGAAATAATGTCCCATTTCCAATCAGTTATTTTCCCAGCTAATTTAAGTGGGAAGAGCTAATCTTTTACAGAAGGATTATGAAGGTGGGTACTTGATTATGCGTCTGTGCCTTACCAGTTAATTTTTTCAATTATCTGCATCTTTTTTCATTTTAACAAGAACAAAATCTTTAATGTATGATTGCCCAAGTAATGAGTAAAAGAAATGGCATTATGAGCAAGTATACAACAGCAACCTAGTTTGTTCTGGACATTTGGCTGTAAATTTTACTGATATAATATCACATATTATCCAAGAGGATAATATGTGATATTATATCAGTACAATTATATCAGTCGTATTAATTATCCAAGAGGGAGAAAGATACTCAAACTGATGAAAAGCTGGGTATCAATACAGAATCTTCACTCATCATTGTGACTTGAATTGCACAGGATTTAAACTGGTGCAAGACTTGCAAAATTTAGTAGGGCCAAATGTCCAGTCCTTCTTTTGGTAAAATTTCAATTGGTCTACAAAGATTATTTGACCCTTTAAATTATACACTGAAAACAGAAGGACGTCAATGTGATTCTAAAAAGGCGAATATCTTGGCAACCAACTTAATGTTAGAGTTAGTAGTTCAGTCCAAGAGAAGTCTGTTTTCTCATTACTGTTTTCCCAGATAAGGTCATAAGGATATTTCTTTCCAAGGCCATGATGACCTAAGGTGGAATGCTAGATGCACGGCCTGTGGGGAATTGCGGCTGTGCCATATTGGTAAACTGGACCACTTAAAAGAGCTAAAATTAGTTGAAAACCAGGTATATGTTATCACAAGAAAATGCGTTATTCTTCCTGTTTTCTTCTTGTAGGTTTCCCATCTCCTACCCTATACAGGTTTCAATAAGACCTTTTACTTAGCTTTTAAATTTAGTAATGGCTTAAAAGTGCAGTCCTAAAATCATTTGTTTCAGAATATACTTTTCCACTTCTTTGCACAATCTTTGTTTTCAAAAGCAAGTGCTAATTGAGTGCTGAATGTTACAAATGGGATTCAAAATGTTTAAACTACGTTGCATGAACTAATGCCGTGTGTTTATTAAATTGTTCTTTGTTAGTCTCTTTGTAATGGTAAACACATGTTTCAACTTTTGCCCTAAATCAAAAGAATTAATTATTTTACCACCATGCAATAGTCACCATCAACAGTATTTCAACCATGATTTCTGAGGTAATATTGTTGGTCTTGCAAATAAGAAAAGCAGGACAAGATGTTCTAAGAATGCATGTTTAGACAAAAAAAGTGCCTCCAACTCCGTGCTTGCCACCACACTAAATATGGATTGGATTCACCTTTATTGAGTTCTCCTTAAGGAACTGGGAGAAGAAGAAAAAAAACAGAACCAACCCATTGTGGTTGCCTGGGAAAACACAATGTATGAGAACCAGCCAACTCTAACAGACAGAGTTCAGGTTTGTATGATCCCTGTGGTTCACCATGGCTTCAGGTCAAAGTAGGTTGTGACACACGCAGGCCAGCATTTTGAATATGCAAGCAGCAACAACCTGTTTAGCTCTTGCATAACCCAAGATGTCTAGGTTAGCTTGATGACATGCCAAGACCTGGTACCCACCTGCTGCAGCTTGCATGTTCAATTGACACTACAATTGTCAATTTCATCTCACTTTTGTAGAAGGACTTCCTGCAGGGGTGAAAAAAAGCAGAGTTGTCAATGTCATGGCTTTAAAATAGAAAGCAGTGTGTGCACATCAATGCTACATTCAAAACAGGAACCTGGGAACTGATTGGCTTTCTCCCCTGGAGCCACCATATCGCAAGTGAGGCCTTCTGACCAGGCCACCTGGCCTTGCTTCCACCATTCACACCTGAAAGGCCCAGTGACAAAAAGGCCTATAAACAATGACAGGGAAACAAGTTCAAAGCCAAGAATGGTACCTATGAAAAGCAGCAACCTTGGGGAGTATCCTGTGGATTCTGGTTGCTTTCTCTGCATGTTAATGTGCTGTGCTACATGAAAGGGGTTTATTTATTCATTTAAAACTTTTCTATACCATCCCATACTTAGACGTCTCGGGATGGTTTACTACAGGGTTGGAGTAGGTCACAACATCTCTGCTGTCTTTGCGCTATTTCAGATGAATCTCACGAATGACGCCTAAAATGACTTCAGCCCATGTGACTGAGAACCCAAAGCAAATTTGCACAAAGAGGTTCCCTTTTCCTCAGGCCAAGGTCCAGCCTTAGCCACACCTCAGTGAATGTCTTGGCACATGCCTCAGGGAACAGTTGTCTTCCCCTTCCCACTATACGCCTGCTACTTGAATAACATTTTGTAACATTCAAAGTCCTTGCCATGTGTGATCTTTCTGTATCTCTCACAGCATCCCTGACTAAGGCAATTGGTGCTTACTCCATATTGGGGCTGAGAGACAATATGTGCCTAGGGCAGTCTCTGCCACCTGCTACCTTCCAGGTGCATTGGATGGCAATTCCCATTGTTCATGGCCAAAATGGTGTTGGCTGTACCCACTGAGAGATGAGTTGCTTTGGGAAACACCTGGAGGGAGCCATGTTGCCAAGTAAGCCCAACTAGTAAGACCTCGGCAGTTATAGACAGCCTATAAATACGTGTATAAATAAATAAAGTCTGGTCTAAGGGCAGCAGTCCTTCACCCTGGAAGTAAGCGCCACTGGAAAAGGTGGGGCTAGCATTCAGGAAGTCTTGCTGACACAATGGGGTGAGTCTGGAGGTCCTGTTGGAACCCCGCATTGTTGCAAAGTGGGTGATCCTGTCTGTCAGACCGCAGCCATGCTAACCAACCATGGTTTGCTGACCACGCGCATCCCACAAAGAGAATGTTCTGGTTTCCGAGTGCATTGCATGCTACAAGGAAAACCTGAAACATCTGGACTTCCTTACACTCGTTTCCTGGCTGTGTGAGAGAAGCGAGCGAGCAAGATGCTCCTGGACCCTGAATCAAGGAGGTTTCCACTTTACCTTAGGTAGGTAGAGTGAACGTGTGTGCTTTCGAAAGAGTTTTCTTTTAATATTTATGAGCCTATGGCAGAACCGCCACAGCGCCTGTTCTCTCTCTGCAAGGGAGCAGGTCCGCCCTGGAACCGCCCCACGGAGCCACCGCCGCGCAACAAGCCCCGCCCCGCTGCTGGCCACGCCCCCCACGCCGCTCAAACCGCGCGAGGCCTCTACGCCCCTCTTCCAGCCCCCGCCTGACGTCACGGCGCTGGCCGCACCGATTGGTCCGGGGCTCCCTTAAAAGGCGAAGCGCGGGCTAGTGAATACACAGACGGTCGTGCGGGGGTGGGTTGGAGCTGGCAAGCGGCGGCTCGGTCGATCAGGCACGCGCCTTCATCCGCGATGTCGGGCACCCGATCGGCGACAGCGGCGGCCGCGGCTGCAGCCGCGGCGGCGTCCAACGACCGCGCCCCTCACCCGGCGGCTGCAGCGGGCGGCGGCCTGAAGCGGCTGCGGAGCGAGCCGGGCGGCAACCGGGTGACGGTGGTACTGGGCGCGCAATGGGGGGACGAAGGCAAAGGCAAGGTGGTGGATCTCCTAGCCACCGAGGCCGACGTCGTCTGCAGGTGCCAGGTGGGTGGCGGCCGTGGCCGTGCCAGCAGCAGCAGCTCCTCTCCCGGGCTGTTCTCGGGTTGCCATCTTACCCACCGGCACCTGCTGCTGTGCCTTGAAGAGCGTCGTCTCGACCTGCAGCTGAGCTTTGCGCAGCTGGGAGAAGCGAATGTCTGTACGTTGCTGTGGTTGAAGGGGCATGAAGTGCGCAGCTATGGGGGACTGACAAAAAGATAGCAGCTGTATTAGCAAGTCCTTTCCTCTAACTCAGGGGTGGGGGAGGCCTGCTGTTAGGCTGCTCTCCTGCAACCTCTTATTGACCTTTTGTTGTCTGTGGTGATGGGATTTGGAGTCCAACATCACCTGCAGATCTAAAGATCCCCGCTCTTGTTCTTTTTCATGTTTTTTTTCCCTCCGACAGACTAATTTGGTCCTTCAGTTCCTTTGAAGCATTTTCTGACTTCTCTTTCCCACCCCCATCAAGTCTCACTGAGGGCTAGGAGGTTCCCAGGCCTGGGCCTTGTGATCTATCAGTTTTCCACCTCAGTTATCTTCTTGAGTGACCTCTTTTCCTTTTGTTACTTATTTGGTTTCCTTTTTCAGCATTCCTACCCGCCCCCGCTGCTTGCTGTCATCTTTTAGTGGTTTAACCTTTCTATTGGTCACATTTCTATCCTGTCCTTCCAAGGAGGACTTAATGTCATATGGTTCCCACCTGGTTTTATCCTCAGAACAGCCTTGTGGGGTAGGCTAGGTCAAGAGCCTGTGACTAGCCCATGGCCTCGTAGGGATGGTTTGAACTCTTTTCTCTAATCACTCACCATTGTGGTATTTCACATCTTTTCCTGTCTGTCTTTCCACCCCACCTTGTCATCTTCGGTTTCTTCTCCCCCTGCCCCTTATTTTGCCACTTTCCCCATCCTTGCCTTGAGTGATGGCTGCAGCAGAGTAGAGAGCGGGGCCCTTTAAGAGTGGTTGCAGACTGAATGCCTCCTGGGTAGAAAAAAACCAGGTCTGGACCTATATATAGAAATAGCTGACCCTTGGCGATAAATGACATAAGATCCCTGAGGTCCAGACAAGCATGGTGTGTGTCTGGACAGTGGTGCATCTGCAGGGGGCAGGCGCTTGCAGAGCAGGTGTCGGGTGATGGCCGCCTGCAAGAGAAGGTTGCTGAAGGTGACCAGGGAAGCACAGCGGAGTTTCTCGTGGCCTGGCTTTGCCTTGCCAGAAAGGCTCGTGCTTTCTTAGAGGTGGGCATGTTGGCTGGCTTAGCTGGCTGCTTCCTCCACACACACAGCAGCGTGGGAGGTTCCAACCGAGCCAATGTCATATTAATGGCTGTGTCAGGCCCCCAGCCCTGGGGAGACCTTGCCTCGCCCACTCCCTACCCACAGGGTTGTTGTGAGGGTAAAATCCTCTGTTTTGAGCCACCTCAGGGAAGGGGGAGGTAAAAATGCACAGACTGGGATAAAAACAATGCAGGAGAGAAGGGAATGGAGTTCTCCTTCCTCTGTGCATTCCGTTGCTGAAGATCCTTTGTGCTGGACCGAAAGCTCCATAGCAACAGAATACAGGGAGGCGATGATGCTGTTGAAAAGAGGCGCATGCAGCCCCCTTCGCCCATGATCTAGGTCCTTGCCCCTATGACCTGGCTTAATATATGAGTACAGCAGACCAGTCAATGGAGATGCCTGTCCCTATTTCTCGTTTAGTTTGTTTCCCGTTCTGGTTATGGCAATTCTAGGTACTTGATATAGTAAAGTTACTTTTCTATTTAAAAAAGATCCAAAGTAATTCTTCTGTGCTTCTCCTAAGAAGGACGGCATCGGCCATCTAGTTCAGTCCTTTACATTGAAGCATAGCCTACAGCATATTTATAGCATATGTGTGTAAGCCTTCCTACATGCTGATTGACTGTAAACCAAACAAGATATGCGAGATGTGTGTTTGCCTTGTAAGTATCTGTAGAAAATAAAGGACAGTATGTAAGGAGGGGATGTTATTCCATTCACCTTCTGCTGCAAGTGAAATTGCCACAAAATCTCCTATTTGATGCTGGAGAAAAGCTGCCAGTTCTTGGGGGGTTGGGCAGGAATGTTGGATCATGATGAAGGATTCCTCCTCTCCCCATTCTGGCCCTGCTCTCTCTCCACTGCCCCCCTCTGGCTGGTTTTTAAAAAGTCGAATAGACTAGATCTGTCATTTTGTAAAACGTAAAAGCTTTAATGTGGTGTGCTGGTTTGAATGTTGGACTCGGGACCTGGGCGATCTGGCTTCTTGTCCACATTTGTCCATGAAGCTCAGTGGCTGTAGCTCAGTGAAGCTTAATGGGGAGCCAATGTGGTGTAGTGTTTAGGCTGCAGAACTGGGACTTAGGAGATCTGGGTACTAGTCCCTACTCAGCCATGAATAATTTGGGCCAGTCAGACTCTCGGTCCTACCAACCTCACAGGGTGGGTGTTGTGAGGATAAAATGGAGCTATGGAAGCTACCTTTGGTTCCTGACAAGAGGAAAAAAGGCAAAATATAAATCAATGTAATAATAAAAGTAACATTGCAATTCAGAAGCAGTTTTGCATCAGACCAACAAATATTCAAAACTTTCTATGAGAGCAACTGTCTCCTTTTCAGAGAGGCCACCCAATGGATTAGCTTTTTTAAAAAGTTTCTCTCCTGAGATATTTCTATGTCATCAGTGATTTGATTTCCATCTGGGAATTCTTTTTAACCCACTAATCCTGGAATGTTTTAATGATCTGGGGGTGTTTACTGTCAGTAAACTAATACTTGGACGAGTATGTATGTGTTAAAATGCTTCTGAATTTGTTTAAAACTTTTCCATTGCAAAGACCTGTGTAGGGTACTTCCTGAGCGTCAGTTATAATGCTTTCTTTTTATTTGACAAATAATGTTAAGGCTGTAATCCTGGCATTCAGATTTACCTGGTTGCAAGTACCATGGAAGTCAGTATCAGTTTACAGGATGTTAAGATCTATTCCAGAACGAGCTGAAACATGTTCCAGGGCAATTTCCTAAAACTGAGGGGACAGGTAGAAGGGAAGAACCAAATGAGCTGCTTCAAGATGCTTGGGATGTTGTTTGAAGCTACAATAAGAAGCTCCAATAGATTCCATAGCACAGATAAAGATTCAAACTACTCCTAAGAGGAAGGCAGGTGGTAAAGTTAAGAAAGCTATAAATGGTGAGACTTCCTTTTAGGAAGTGGAAATCTTCTCCAAAGAAGAATAAGAAAGAATGCAGTCTCTGAATCTAATGAATACAGGTTGACAACAACTCAAGTGAACCATGGTTTTGGCAGTATTTTCTTTAACTCATTTTAAGTTTTAAAAAGATAAAAGGTACACATTGAATAAAATACAAATAAAAACATTAAAAGTCCTTGTGTTTTCTAGCCAGCACTGAGAAACCAGCTGCATCTTTTGAGGTGGTCTTGCTTGGGGATGTTGAGCAAATACACCAGAACCATGCTTGGGAGGGGTGTGTGTGTGTGTGTGTTTTATAACTGGAGAACAAATTCCACAGAGCTATGCATGCTTACACAGAAAAAGGTCTTTCTGTCTAAACTTGCATAGGATATGTGAGATACTTCAAGGGAAGTGGTACGGTTAACTGGCATTCATTAAAAGGCCCTGAGCGACATCCATCCAAGGGTTAAAAGTATGATGGGAGCTGCCTTCCAGAACAACTCAAAAATCACCAAGTTGTCACTAAGATGAAGCTACAGGGTTGGATCAGACACTGGCAGTCTGCTGGTAGAACAGAAACCATTGGATTTCTCCTTTTCTCACCACTTTCCACAGTCTGCTCTGATGGACTGGGGGACAGAGCGGATATGGGCTGTGGTGCATGGTGGTGGACAGCAAGGGGAAGGCGGCCTGTGGCTCAAGCAGAAGATTGTTCAAGCAGTATAGATAACATGAGACGTTTGGAAGGTAGTCAACATAATGCCATTTTACAAAATGTCAGGATTGAGGGTGGAAACAGATTTCTGGCTTTTGAGCACCATGTGGTTTTTCTGTGCAAATGAAAACTGACCAGCATTGATTATGAGGTTGTTATATGTGCATTCTAAATGTTTCAAATAACCCTGGAAAACATTTAAGAAGAACACTGGAAAGTATGTGGTCCTTCAACACAAGTTAAATAAAACGTAGAATTCCTAGGTATTTGTAAGTGTGCCATCTATTTTGCCTGTCACTGGTGTTCTTCAGGCACGAAGACATTTCAGTGCTTCAGGGATGGAAAGCCATGATGGAATCAACCATGGTAGGGAAAGTCCAGTAATAAGTTGAGGCCACAATCCTGTGTACCTGAGAATGTCCCACCAAGCATAATGGAAATTCATTTTGATTTGATTAAAGCATGATTTTTCTGTAATAACTGACCCTTTATTGAGAGCCCTTTGAAGATGGTCCAAATCTGGTACCTTTGAGCTGGTTGTGTAGTTTATACAAGGTGAGGCAGAGTAACATTAGCATCTATATTTAAAAAATTTACATTTCTTCAAGAAGGTTTCAGTCTTTTAACTATGTGGAAAGCAGTGTATGGAAAACAAAATGAGTAGGCGGCATGATGTAGGTGTACATTTATGGAATTAAGCATTTATATTTTTATTTGTCATACTTTGAAACCAACAGCCAGTGTTTTCCTGGTGTGTGCAGCACACTAAACACATACAAATATTAAAACAACACCACAGAATAAAACCAACCTCAAAAAATAACATAACTACATGAAGCTAAATGCAAAGCAGCAGAAGAATAGAGTATTAAAACATTTTTAAATGCCTGGAAGAATAAAAAGGTACAGGAAAGATCAGAGTGTAGGTGCCCCACAAGGTTTGCCAGGGTGAGCATTCCATAGGTAGGATGCCGTCACTAAAAAGGCCCTCTCTTGTAGCCACACCTGTTGGTGGGGGCCCCTTGAGAAGGCCTTAGACTGTGATTGTAATATCTTTGTAGGTAAATATTGGAAGAGATGTTTCTTGTTTCAGTCTATTTTCTTTATATAATTATGGGCCCTTTACTAAAGCAGGAACGTTGAAAAGGCTTGCAGAGTGTGAATACATTTTAAAGGTAACTTTATGTATTTATTATTCTTCCACCCCTGCACTTTTTCTTCACAACAGTGGTGACTAAGCCCATGGCTACCAGGTGAGTCTCAAAGCTGAGTGAAGATTTCGATCTGGGTGTTCACCGTCTGAGGATGCCACCCTGAACCATTGCAGTATGGTTGCTATAAATTAGCATAGCAAAGATTATGACTGAAGTAAGGGTATAAAATAAAACTAGCCAGGTTTTTTAATGGCTAGAGGACTGTAAAACTTGCCACGGAAACCATTCCGAAGAGTGTTCCTTTTGTGTAAGCTTTTCAAAGCTGTTAAAAAGTTTGCAAGCATCTGTGTAGCATTTACTTGTATCAGGGGCTGCATTATTATTACATTCATGTTCTTGCAAGGAATCCCAAGTGGCCTACGGGATTCTCCTACTGGCCACTTTATCCTCAGAACCACCACCACTACCCAGTGAGAGAGGTTAGTCTGAGTCTGTGACTGGCCCAAATTCGCCCTGAGAGCTTCATGCTTCAGAACCTGGATCTCCTGCGCCCAGGCCAACAGCAACAAGTCCACCACACTAGCTGTCAGCATGTTTAAGTGCTTCAGTTTCTGGGAAATGTGGCTGGGAGGAGGCGGATGTGCTCTTGTCTTGCTCCTGGGTTTCCGTTGGGCAGCTGGTTGGTCACTGTGCACTCAGAATGCCGGCCTAGATGGTCTGATCCACCTTTGATCTTCCTCTGTTCTTGTGCCCCTGAAGAATGGCCCTCACTTTTGGGAGGCCCTGCATCTGTGGAGGATTTAAATCTACATGGTGACATTGCTATTTTAAACTTGGGCTTCTCCTTTGGGTACTGATAAAATCTTTCCAGGATCACCAGCATTATATGAGAAGGTCAAGTTTAAAGTTACCAAAGCTCTGTAAGAAAAACAAGGCAGGCTTTGGATGCCCTTCATGGGAAACCAACTTTATTATCCTGAGGAAACAATCGGAGAAACGCACACTGAAAATGAAGTTCACATGAGCAGTGCTTTATCCTGCTTGTTTGCTTTTCTGATAACTTGCAGGCAAGGGACTGGCTAAGATCATTTCCTCGTGTAAGAACTTCCTTGCTGTAAGGTGGCGAAAGAACACGGGGGCATTTTTCCAGGGCCTTTTAATCCAAGCTGCTACGCTGCTCATGGCAATGTGTGTGAGAGAAAGTGGATAAGAGCTATTGAAATCGAGTATGTGTTCTGCGTGGTGTAACCTTTTCATCTGATTTGCAGATATAACAACCACAAAGGACATGATTTATGTAATCTCTAACAGTGAACCGAGTCTTGGACTAGATTTTCTTCTGTTTATTTTTTTTTTAAACTAGTATCCAGTTACAACTAGCATCAAAACCAGGCTGTCCTTCACTTCTGTAATAATTTAGATTTGGCATTTTTGTTTGTGCTGATTCCTAGCTCAAGAAAGGACTAAACTTCCTTGGGGTATGAAGCAGGTGCTGTACAGTTCAGTAAAGAAGTCTTGTTTTAGGAATATTTTCATCCTTTTTTCTCCTCTTAAAAGGACAGACTTATTCAGACATCCCCTTGATTGGCTGTACGCACATACAAGTGCTGTTCATTTAAAACATAAAAGAGACCTTGAATGTGTAAAGTGTGTCTAAAGAGGAATTATTGTAAGAAAAGAGTAAAAGAAAAACTGCAATTCTTGTTTCATTGTGGTTATTGTTACTGAGCCAGAGAGATTCAGCAACAACAGTAGGAAGCATTTGTTCTTTATATTCTACCTATTCATTTGAAGAAAAAAAGTTAGTTTCAGTAAATGCAATTCTGTTGATGTCAAAAGGCAAAACTTCCATGAATTCTGATTGCTAGATACTAGTTTTAGGGCAGTCAATGAGGAGGGATTTCCAGGGATTGAATTTACCGGTTAATAATTGCTTAAGATTTATTGATTCCAAGTAAAGGTCAAATCAGTCTAGCAATAAAATAGCAGTGTTCCGGAAAGACTGCACCCAACGGTTGCTAAGGGACAGATGCAGAAAAAATGGAACTGAGGAAGGGACTGGCAGTCTAGAAGAGGCCCCCAAATCTCCTTAAGGCTGTTTCCTCATAGAATAATGTTTCTGTACTTCTGTGTAAGAGCTGCCTATTAAAAAGAGGGAATTGCCACACTCCCACTTCATATCCTCACCTTGTAAACCAGGTGCCTGTCAAGGTGGTGTCCTCTTGGTGGTGTCTTCTTGATTAGAGAATGATCTCCCCAGACAGATCCACTGAGTGCTTGCTTTGTCACGGACTGTTCTGTTCCCACTATTTTACTCTTGATTTTAGCCCTGCTGATTGTTTTAATCTGGCGTTTATGATCTTGGTGCTTTTTTCTGTTTATTTTTGTCCTGATTTAGTATACTTGTATTGTGTATGGGTTTTGGAGGAAAGTTTTCCTTCTATATAACTGACCAAATTCCAATCATCAAGGGCTATAGAAATTTCTGTAATAATGGAAATTACTACTTATTTTTAACTCCATCTTATAACAAGGATAACTGTGATTGTAGAATTTGATTTTTGAATGGATGAGAGATCATACCCTTCTAATATGGATTCAAATAAAACTAATAAAGAAATAATAGGGAAATCTATAGGAAATCACAGTAATTTAAGTATTTTCTAAACGACTTTAGGAGAAGGTTTGTAAGCACAAGTTGTTTGCAACAGTAACAACCAGGGTCACTGTTGTAGTGGTTCTCCTGCATTAGCAATGGGTTGGTCAAAAAAGACCTTCAAGGTAACCTTCCAAATTTTGATTCTTGGTTCTCTTTGTTTTATGTAAGCTCCTTTGGGATATATTGGAATGACTAAAATAGAATTTATAAGGATACTTAAGCAGACAGTGAAAGCAACACAATAAGCCGGCACGTTTAGAGTGGTCAGGATCTTGGACTGGAGTTTGGGAGACCTGGATTTGAGCCCCCACTTGGCCTTGAAGTCCACTGGGGTGACTTTGGACCAGTCACTAACTAAACTTAAACTACTTCACAGGGTTTTTGTGAGGAGAAAATGGAGAGATTATGTAAGCTGCCTCCTTTGGTTCTTTGCAGGAAAAAAGGTGGGATATAAACAAAATAATGAAGTATCAATTGAAATATGCCGCTGAGGTATGCTGAATTCAGTGGAATGAATCCAGACAAAGGCCAAAATCCTACATCCACTTACTTAGGAGTAAATTTTATTGAACTCATTGGCGGTTGTTTCTGAGTAGTCTTGAATAGGATTGCTTTGTAAGGTAGTCATACGTTACTTCCATTGAACTTAATTGGGCTCCAGCTAGTCATGACTAACTTGTCCCATTGAATTCAACAACTTAGTCTGGATGCATGCATAGACATTGATCTAGATACGTTTAAAATGTTTCTAGATTGTATGTATGTACACAATGATGACATTGTTAAAAGTTGGGCACAGCATTTCAGACCAGAAGAGATAAAGAAAGCTGAGAAGTTTTAACAGTAGTTAAAATGTTTTAACTCTTTTTTTTTTTTTTTTGACAGGGTGGAAACAATGCAGGTCACACAGTGGTTGTTGATGGGAAAGAATATGATTTTCACCTCTTTCCTAGTGGTATAATTAATCCCAAGGCAATTTCTCTTATTGGTAAGTATAAATGTTCAGTTTAGAGACTTAAGCCCTACCCAAGTTGGAAAATTCAGTTGTAAATGGATTCTTCACCAGTAGAGTAGTGATGTTTATAACTGCTTTTGAAACTTGAATCAGATTATGTTTAACTATTAAGACAAGATTAAAATGCTCAGCTTCTTTTCTTTGTAGGTGTAAATGTGTCGTCTTAACTGGGTATTTCTTAACTGTTATTTTCTGTACAAGGTTCAAACAGGAGTGACTGCCTGGTTTTGCTTTGTTTTTACGTTCGTAGGAAGAAAAAAAAAGGAGCAGCTGTTCTCATTCCACTTCGGGTCTAATCCTCCTGCATCTTCAGGATGATTACTGTTGCTCCTGATATTTAATTAGCAGCTTTATAAAAAGGAAAATGAATTCATGAACCAAAGCAGCTGTTCAGATTTGAACCTATAGAAGCCTGTACAGACTTGTTATCATGATGTTTGGACCAGCGTGCCAGGCAGCAGGATGGGCATTTTCCACTCGCTCGCTGTGTTGGCACAGGCTGTTCCACATTGGCATTGGAGCGAGATGCATCCTGGGGTGGGGTTCCATGTAGAAGAAACGTATTTCCTGCATGCAGATCTGTTCTGATTGATGAGTGCTGTGAGGTCTGCGGTCTGTCTAGCGGATTGGGTGTACATCTTTGATGTTAAGAGGTCAGAGTGAGACTTGGTGCAAGCAGTCAGGATGTATAATTATACATTTCAAGAGTGAGGGAGGAACAGTGCAAACTATACGGTAGTGTGATACCTGAAGTAAAAAAAGCTATTTATTAGTATCCTGAAGCTGGGCGAACGACCTGTCTATTCAAAATGAGAATGATCAAGTTTGCTTTAATTGGGCTTCTGAGATTCTTACTAAATATGTCTGTGGTAAGAACAGTGCCTTCTCTTCTCATCAGCTCTGTGTGCTTCTACACAGACAGCCCCTAACACTACTAATTAGAAAGCACAGCCATTCTCTTTTTTTCCTCCTTAACAAAATTCTGTGATAAATGAAAAGATGGTCAAATTTGTGGGGAAACACAGTTACAAGAAACATATTTATTCATTTATTTGAAACACTTATACGCCACTCCATTCGCAAGAGCCTTGGGCTTTTGACACTGCTATCTTGTTCCCTTGTAAAATATCACCACCTTGCCCCAGGACTACCTCATCCAGAAGCACCCTTGGCTGCTAAGAGGAGGGTAAGGATTGGTGTAGTAGCTGCCGGTATCACAAAGACACTCATGCTCCCCTAAACCAACAGAGGTCTGTGGTACATTCCTTGCACGGCTCCTAGGAGTAGCTTTGCCTTCTGCACTTTCTCCATTTCCTGATCATCTGTCTTTTGCCTGCTCTGGCAGTGTGGCTTCCAAGAAAGCAAACATGAGAAGTCCCACTTGGCGTTCATACAGATAATATGGAAAAAGACATAGCTCAGTGGCCCAGTCCCTACCATCCCAAGTTAAGGTTTTGAACAGAAGCGCTGGAAAAACTGTTTTGATCCTGTCCGTTGCTGCTCGGTCTGACGTTGGCTACTGGACAACTGCTGCTACCCTGATGTTTCATGTGAGGCTTTGAAGGATGTTTGGTTTTCTGCTTTTAAAACAACTTTTTGTATACCACTTTTAGGTAATGGAGTAGTTATACACTTACCAGGCTTATTTGAAGAAGCTGAAAAAAATGAGAAAAAAGGTTTGTATGCAATATTTGGATGTGGGGTTTTCTTTATAAAGAGAGGGGTTTCAGCCTAATGGCAGTTTACACTTCAGTTGGTCTGTAGAACAGAAAATTGGTGCATCAGGAAAGCCGGAAGAAGAGACTAACCGCATTCTCTATAAATGGCCTTTAAGAGAGCATTGCTCCTCTCTGGCTCTGACAGACACAGGGCAGTGATGTAGTTGCTTCTTGGAACAGGCAGCCAGAGCATTCATTTGGATTTCTGGATTGGATTGAAGACTACAAAACTCTGCCCTTTCCTGTGCATGTGGGTCCATAATGTTGCCTTGCACAAGCCTTTTTCTGCTGTTCTATAGGTACGCAGAACTAGAAATATGAAATTAAGCAGTGGTTTGTCATTGAAATTCAATGGCATATCAGTTCAGCAGCTTCTAAGGCCTGCTTCTGAAGAAAAGATAGCTCTTTCATGAGCTGCACTGCCAAATTTTGGTGGAATTTGGTGGTGGGCAGCATTGGCAGTGCCACCCCCAGTGGGTCTGATGTGGTAGAAGAAACTGGTTTCGAGGTCTTTAGGAGACTGTCCATCCCTGTACTGGATGTATTAAAATACAGAGTGCTAAATGTATCTCTGTATTACATGAGGGATCTGAGTCAGGCAGAATGCAGTGAAGACTACACGAAAAGTTACTACACTGCTCTGTGCTGGTTTAGGCCAACAACCTTTTCTGAGATTTCTAAACTGTGTAGGTTTTGTCAAAATTTCACACTGTAAAGAGCCCCTGAATCTTTGTGCCACGCGTCTCCTTCTGCAGCTATATTCAGAAATGGTTCCTATTAATGTTGCATGAAGTCAACTGCTAATTATGGTTGTGTAGAAATGCCGCCACAAACTGACTGAATGCTGCATATAATAATTGCTTCAAAGAAATGCAGTGCAGTACTTCTTGCATCTGGGTTTTACAGCACTATTATGAAAGGAAGAGAAATGGGAGCCAGTGTTTCCACAATTTTGTCAGTTGGACACATGCTGCCCATGTGTAATGCAGTTACCAGAATCCTTGGTAATCCTTGTGTAACAAACCTTGGATGTGCCTTCCTGTATGAACTTTGCCTTCTTGACTAAGCCCACTGGGTCTGCCGTGTATTTTGCTCTGCTCGTGACTCAGGGCCAATATGTCAAGTGAGCAGAAACATTTCACATGTGTGCATTTTTTTCTTGATCACTTTAAAATGGCAAGGCTGAATAATCCTTCAGTCTATTGATGGGAGAAACCTCCTAACTGACACTGCATTTCTTCTGACAGGTTTAAGAGATTGGGAGAAAAGACTTATTATATCAGACAGAGCGCACATTGGTAAGTGGCATCAGACAAATTCTATAGACTCTTTTCACCTTCTAGAAACCTGGTTGACCCAGTCAAACTCATTTGCCGTGAGCCGGGTCTTTGCTTTAGTAGCAAGGAAGGTGAATAAATCTTATTTCGGTACACTGAATGCAATAAAGAAGAGTCTAAAACAACCAATTAAATCCACACTGATTTAGTCATGCTTTTGCCCCATTGGATTGGATCCAGACAGAGTGGACCCATTGGAATTCATGGGATTTGATTCACTGGTTCTATTCTTTCTTTATCACTGTCTGGATCCAAGCCACTGAAATCAATAGGACTTGGTGTAATCATTGCTGTGCTCATGCACTGATTTTAATGGAACCGAAGCATGAATAAAATAATCTGGCTCCAATTTTTTTTTTTACTTACATGCTTAACCTGTAGCTGATAGACCGTCTCTGGCCAGCCATAGGAAAAGGCAGATTCCTCTACCGCAATCTTGGAAAACCCTTCCAAAGTTGCAGTGGGAACTCCATCTCCAGGGGACCACCCTCTGTCTTACCTGGTGTGGTTCTTATTTTGTGTCATCTGAGAGCCAGGTTGGTATAGTGGTTAAGAGCATGGAACTGGGACTCAGGAGATCTGGGTTTTAGTCCCCACTCAGCCCTGGGTGACTTTGGGCCAGTCACAGACACAGGTATGCCATTGTGAGGGTAAGATAGAGACGAGGAGGAAGAGAATGATGTAAGATGCCTTGAGTTCCTTGAAAGGAAAAAGGGTGGGATGTAGCTATAATAAACAAATACATAAACTGGGGCTTCAAAGATAGAAGACCAACTTCGGGGGAGGTGTTGTGGGGAGGTCACATTCCAAGGGGAGGGAAAATGCCCTGCCATCATATGTAGAATCCAGGTGCCTCAGCCTTTCTTTGGAGGAAGGGAAAATATTTAGGCAGCTAAACTCAGCATTCTCAATGTTTTTGAAAGCAAGGCCTTGCCTCTATGCTTCTCCCGCTCTCAATTGGATGCCTCTAACCTCCTGAGTTTAGAAGGTTACAGGAAGAGACGTAAGGAAAGTGTCTTTAGGTCCTTTGATACTAGCATCATAAGTGTGTGTAATACCTGGGAACCAACCATTTTTGTCCTTTGATTCTTCTTCTTCCTCTGCTATGCAGTGTTTGATTTTCACCAGGCAGTTGACGGACTTCAAGAAGTGCAGCGGCAAGCACAAGAGGGGAAAAAGTAATTATTTATCTTGGTATACTTGAATTCTGCTACTAGATGTGGCACAGGGCCATAAATGGATATACCAACCATAACAGTGTGCATTTGGAAATGACTCTGGCTGCCCAAACGGCTTTTGTTCAAAATAGCAGGCTCTGCTTTGTATGGAAGAGTTCTAGACCTTGCCTGGTCCTCAGTGCGACATTCTTAGATCTTGGCAGGAATGCGTAGAAGACGTGTAGAACTCCTGCTTGGAGAACTGCAGTGGGGCAACTTCTCAATTTCTAATTGCAGTCATCTGCTGCCATTCTCACAAGGAGCTTGGGGCCCTTGGGGGGATGGGGTGCGTGCAATTTTTATTTCAATAAATCCCCTAGCTGTTTTCTTTAGTACTACCTAGTTCATTCACAATTGTTTGTTCAAAATTTTCCATGTGACACTTAATACAAAGCCTGTCCCCACAAGCAAAGTCATATATTCATTTAATTGGATGCAAGTCCTGCTTGGCAATGATCCCAGTTCTTCTAGCTACCTATCTGTATTTGTTTGCTTCCACGTCTGCCACAGTTTTCTTTGGCAGAAGAAAACGGTCCTTAATCGGTCCTGTTGGGCTCCTCATTATGATTTTCAGAGCCTCCGAGAATTCTTGTCAGCCTCAGTGCAGACCCTTTAATTCAGGCATGGAAAACATGAACAGCCTCCCACTGGTCTGTTACTATAATTCTGGTAGGAAGTCCAAATATAAAAAGAAAAACTGGTTGTTTTGCCACTGAAACTTGGTGGCGAAGGGGGCCTGCCTTAAAGCAAAATAGCCACTTCCCTCCACCACTGCACTGCTGAGTTCTGACAGGAGACTGCTGATTTTTCCTTTTAAAACAGGGCTTCTTGCCCTTGCTGCTGCCCCAGTGCTGCATGTGAAGCCTGGGGGAATTGTCTGCAATTAGGAAAGTAGATCAAAAGCTCCCACAAAACTCATTATGCTTGTGCAGGCACTCAGCTGATATTGCTGGACCGGAAGGAGTGACCTGGCAGAGGGAGAAGCTGGCGCTCTTCCACAGAAATATTGTACACCCAGTTTAATACTTGGGAAGAAAGGCAGTAGAAGAGCTTCCTTTCCATGTTCTTTAGCTGTCAGCAGGATGGTCTTAATCTCATCCCTCCCAGGAAAGAGGAGATGGATCAAAACCATCAGTGGAAAAGGATGGCTACGCTCACGCACAGTTCCTTGCATCTCTTCTTCCCCACTGCAAAGGAGGTTGCTAGGCACACCTCCTGCATGAAGTTTTGCTAGGAGTGTCTGCAGTTAGGCGCCTCTGCATGTGTTAGATAGTCTGCAAGGTAGTCCAGTGCCGGAGGAAGGCAGGTCTGCAGAAAAGTGGCTTCCCCCTGTGCCTGTTCCTGCTGATGGCTGGCAAAATTTTCCAGTGTCTCAGGAGAGCAATGTACATTTGCTTGTCATGCCTCTCTTTCCCCCAGTCCTCCCCTGCCATGTCTGTGTACTGGATGTTATATTAGATAGGTCAGTGAGCTGCAAATTGATACTCAGATGACCAATTTAGAGCAGCCCTGAAAGATCTGGCAGCGAGGTAATGAAAGCAACCAAATCCACAGCAGCCTCGGACGTTGGCACACAGTGTCTGGAATGAAACATGGACTTTATGTGCACCGGCTTTTGGCCCTGTGCACTGCCTGTAGTGTGGCGGTGGAAAGAAAGAACAAAATTGTATTATGTAACTGAAAAACAGTGCCGTCAAGGATGCCTGAGGCCAGGGGACTTGCTTATATCTTTCTTTGTAATGTTTATGATTTATTCCTATGCTGCCTTGGCCAAAAAGGCCTCTGGAGAGAGAAGGCCCTGTAAGACAGGATGTCCAAGGAAATAAAAAGGACATTTAGGTAATTCAGAATGGAATAATTACACCTGTCATTCCTGCTATCGGTGTTCTGTGCACATGATCATGCTTGTCAGAGGTGGGCGTGGTGGAGCACCTGTCAAGGGCCCACACTGCAGCAGGTGCCCAGTGACACCCCTCCTCCCCAGTTGTCCCCCTGCTTTACCACTGCAGCCTGCTTGTTCACCTGCCTCTCACTCTGGTCCAGACTTGGTGATGGTGAGCAGGTGGAGCAGCTGATGCCATGGCCTGCTTGCTCACTGGCTTTCCACCTGCCGTTAAGCAAGAGGGAGCAACAGTGAGGAGAAAGATGTGGAGCCGTAGCCACTGGGGACAATGCTACTGGGTGGGGGCCCATTGAAAGTATCACAACCGTCACAACGGAGCTAGCTCTGTTCAGGAGCCCTTGTTCGTTGGTCTTCAGCTGGTGAGTTGGGCCCTGACCTAAGATGGGGCTCCTGCAGTTTTCCTTGTCTAGACTTAAATTTCTTAAAAAGAGGGTAATAGAAGAAACATCATAGTAGAACAGATCAGATGTGAAGGATGGAGTTCTTTCATCTTGACCTTCCTTCTTTTATCCTGGTCCGGGTCAGTTTTCCACGCTTCTGTGATAAGCCTTGCCTGACAAATTTCCCTCTTGCATAACAATTAAAAATACAGGAGCTCTGCTATCCATTGAATCTGGTGACTGAAAAGAAACTAGGGAAATGGGCAAATAAAGCGGGGAGGGGGGAGGGACATGGGTTGCAAGGTGGGTTATGCATCAGAAAAGGTTTGTACCAGCTATGTGAATACTCACCTATGGACAGTCCTCTGAGGTTAGGCTAAAACCCTGATCTAAGGAGCAATCTTTTGCATATTTAGACAGAAAAATTGTACGACTCCTAGCATTCTTCAAGAAACATGACTTTTTCTGCTTAGGGTTTTAGTTGCCAAGTGAAAAGTTTACTTTCAAACAGTTCCTATTATGAAATATTTTAAAATATCTGTCACCATAAGGTTTGCTAGCCCAATAATCGCATTCACTCTTTTTATCTTCTTCTTTCACTAGCATTGGCACAACCAAGAAAGGAATTGGACCAACCTATTCTTCCAAAGCTGCACGGACGGGACTTAGGATCTGTGATCTTCTTTCAGATTTTGATGAATTTTCTGCAAGGTATATTGCTGAAAATAAGAATGCATGCATGTAAATTTCTGCTTTACATGGGAATTTATACTCTTGTATACCCTTTAAACACAGTTGGGGAAATGGGGACTTTGAAAGCTTGTTGGAACTATGACTTCAAACAAAAGTTGCTTTGGGAAATGGATATCTAGGTCCTTGCTGGCTTTAGTGAGTTACAGCTCAGACCATCTTCCACAGTTCCAGTCAGCTGATTTTATGAACCCAGGTGTACTTCACATACTTCTGTTTAGAGAATAACCTCTCTTGTAGCATGGCCTGTAGCCACAAAGAAGTTCAACAGGAAAAATGTCATTAAAAATTCTGCATTTTTGTTGCTAACTACATTGTTGACATTTTACAGATTTAAGAATCTGGCTCACCAGTACAAATCAATGTTTCCTTCTTTAGAAGTGGACATAGATGGGCAACTGAAAAAACTAAAGGTAAACCTCATAAAATTTTTGTGTTAAGACTTTGAATTGGGATAAGGCAGAATTACATTTTGTGTGTTGGGGTGAGGAATAAAGTAAAATGATCTAATAAATTATTAGGATTTTACTTTTCTAGAAATAACAAAGAATATGAACTTGAAATTGAATTGATAAGGATGCAAAAGTTCATTTGGTAGAATAACAATATATTGTTTTACATTTATGTAGCAGCATTCCTGAAAGTAATGAGAAGCTGCTATTAGGACAGAATATAGAAGGGCAGAATAGAGAGACACAAAATGGTTTCCTATAGGCAAAGGCATTTTATATTTTTTATCTCTTTACCTGTCTAGCCTGTATGTAGAAAATATAAGAAAAGGTTGGTGAGGATCAGAGGAAGGATGAAAACTGGTGAATGATAAATCAATAATTTAAGTTATGATACTATGTTACTGGCAGAAAGCAGCAATGAATTGAAACAACTGCTGATCGAAGCAAAAGAATATAGTGCAAAGGCAGGACTACAGCTGAATATTAAGAAAACAAAAATCATGACTATAGAATTCCATAGCTTTACTGTTAATAGTGAAAAAATTGAAATTGTGAAAGATTTAGCATACCTTGACTAGCCATCAGTTCAGACACACAGCAGCCAAGAAATTTGAAGAAGATTGAGACTTGGAAGGGCAGCCATGAAGGAACTAGGAAAGTTCATCCAGTGCAAGGACATTTCACTGGAGACCAAGGCCAAGATCATTTTATTTCGATGTATATCTTGCCTTTTTCCAACAAAGGGCTCAAGGCAGCTTACATCATTCTCCTCCTCCCTCTTGTCCCCACAACAACAACCCTGTGAGGTAGGCTGGGCTGTGACTGGCCCAGAGTCACCCAGTTGGCTCCATGGCCGAGCGCGGACTCGAACCCAGATCGCCCGAGTCCCAGTCCCAGCTCTTAACCACTACACCACCCTGGCTCTCATCCACACTATTGTACTCCCAATCTCTGTGTATGGGTGTGAAGGCTGGACAAGTGAAGAAAGCTGCCAGAAAGAAAATGGATGCATTCAAAACACGGTGCTGGAAGAGTGCTTTGCAGGTACCCTAGACTGACAGGTGAACCCGTGGGTCCTAAATCAAACAAAACTGGAATTTGCCCTGGAAGCTAAAGTGAGAAAATTGAAGCTGTTATACTTTGGGTGCATCACAGTCACACTAAGGAAGGATGAAGACAGAAGAAAAGGAAGACCAAATGTGAGACGGATGGGCTCCTTAATGGAAGTCACAGCCTTGAGTTTCCAAGAACTGAGCAGGGCTGTGAAGGTTCTTGATTTTGATTAATTCATAGGGTCACAATAAGTAACAATAGCATAGCAACAGTGACAAAGGGGCATTGTAATCTTAATGGAAAAGTTACTATCCTGCAGAGTTATAAGCACCTAATGTTTCTCTCATCCTTTTTTCCCTTTTTTGAGGGGAAGGGAGGCGCTGCCCAGTGGCTGCTACCTCTTGGGAGAGGGTAATAAAAGGGATAAACTTAATGTTGGAAAGCTCTTCCATATTTAGTGGCATTCATATATTCAGTTACAGTAACAAACATTTTCTGCACCTCTTTGACTGCTAAAAGACTGATTTTACAATATTTGAATGGCGGATAGCAGATAATGCAACTGAGAATTTAATGAAGCTGTCAACTTTTAAATGGGTGATCTTTGGGTGTAACTCACAAATGAATAAATACATGGATTTTTGGACTGTCTCTATAAGACTACTTATGGGTGGTAGTATATTTTGCTTTAGATGAAATATATGGGTACAGATTTTAGATGTATCACTTGTAAGTAATCACATTTTATGTAAGAAAACTAATATGTTTGTATGTATGTATTATTATTATTACATTACATTTCTGTAGCCGAAGCTCTCTGGGCAGTTCACAACGTTTAAGTCACCCATCCAGATTTCAACCAGCCCCAACACTGCTTAGCTTCCAAGATTAGGCAGGATCAAGCATTTCAGGCTATATGGAAGGTATATTAGTTACTTGTTATAATTACTTTGTTTTTTATTTTTATTTAATAAAAATAACAATAATGAAAAAGAGACTGTACTTCAATATGTTGACCGAAATGCTTAACTGTCAAAATGTTCAGGACTATTTGTCCATCATTTAATATTGGTACTTAGGGTCACGAGCCACAAGGAGCATCTCTTCAGAGAGACTGCATGAGTTCACATTTCCATGTCTGGAACCTGATGGCAGTAAACACTGATGGCTTGCAGTTGTGATGCAGATCAAAACCCTGTGAAGGATTTTCTTCAGCTATGAGCCACCATATAAGATGGCAAGGGCAGTGGCTGCATATGTAAATTAGTCCTTGCCCAGGAGTTGTTCAGAGTGGATTGGCAAGAAGGGGCCAAGCTTGGAACCATGAAAGGGCTCACTAATTCTCTTGTTTGGGTGTCCTCAACGCCCGAGATTAAGGCTTGGGTGAGTTTGGTTTTGTACTGTTGGCCTCTGTATCAAAGTAGTACAGACCTTAATAGCCCCACCTTGGTTTAGGTCCACAGAACAATACTGAATGGATTCAGGGAGTTCATGAGTCTGAGTGGGGAGGTGGTTGTGAGAGTGGTGCTTTTGTGAGGTTTCAAGAAGCTTTCTGCTGCACCTTCACAGATCTTATGCAGCAAGAATGATGCATCTATTTCAGTTTTATCCAACACAGTCAATGGCTATGGTGGATGAGGATGCTAGGAGCTGTAGTCCAACATACATTTTCTATTTGACAAGCTATTGTGAACTGTGCAGAGAGTTCTGGTTATTGGGCGATACAGTAAATAAATAAATATCTGGTGAGTACCAGGATTGGGGAGGTTGATCTGTCTGATGTGAAGCTGGTATTGTGGCAGGGGTCTTTCTCATGCTAACCTTTTAAAAAGCAGTGACCCGTATAAAATTGAAACTGCACGATACATGAATTCAGTAGACCATTTTGGAGTCTTCCTGTAATTGGGTTTTTACTGCAAGAGAGAAACATATAACAATTCTCTCACTGCATCAAAACAGCTCAGCTATCCCAAGGTGGTATTTACCATAAACTGTCTTGCTTGCAATGTGGATTGTGCATGTGTTCAGAACCCCAGTGGTTCAGAAATGTGTTACTTGCTGGTTTGACTTCTAGCACAATCAAGTATAAACCTTTGCTCAGGCTTGCAAATGTATTTAACCTTGTAGGGGTATGCTGAAAAAATAAGACCAATGGTCCGAGATGGTGTGTATTTCATGTATGAAGCACTGCATGGCCCTCCGAAGAAAATTCTTGTGGAAGGGGCCAATGCGGCACTACTTGACATCGACTTTGGTAGGTCATCCCATAGAAGCTTGTCTGTCTGCCATTTGCATCTTAAACTCTTCCGATTGCAGATTTTGGAAGAGTTACACATTTGTTTCACAGGGAAGGTGTAGGCAAGGCCCTGGCAAGGAGCAGTTCTGCAAGATGATGGGGAGAGTGCATGTCCACACTGAAATCTGGCTGCCCACCGTAGGCTTGCTAAACGAGATAGGCCTTGGGCTTGATTTAGCAGGGGGTTTTGTATGTCTGTATGAAGGCGTATTTGTGACACCTGTGTGAATCCTACGGGGTCCAGACATAGTCATGCTTGGGACAGAACACTTAAAAAATATAACTTCCCCATAACTAACTACCCCCATTAGCTAACTCAAAGCATAGCTTAAGTCTCAATCCTTCCCAAGGTCAAGACACAGTCTGAAATGTTTGTGAAATGTAACAACCATTGAAATGTTGTTCAAACTGGAAATGATTAGGATTTGGAGGAAGGAAGACGGCTTGCAGCTCCAGAGGCACTGCTGTTCCATAAAGTGCCATTTGCTACAAGGTTGTGTGTGTGTAGAATTTTGCTTACACATAATCTTCTTGCAACCTGGCAATATGTACTTCAAAAATTCCACGCCAGCATACTTCCTTGCTTGTATTTCCAGTATGATCAGGGATCCATTACCCTCAACTCCTAAAGTTCCTTAAAACATGTGAGGGACCTTTTTGAAATAAAATAAGGAAAGGTTTTTTTAATGCAAATTTTGTCTACCTTTTTGTTCCTTTGTCTTTTTTGTAGGCACATATCCTTTTGTGACATCGTCAAATTGCACCGTGGGAGGTGTGTGCACTGGGCTTGGCATTCCCCCTCAGTATATTGGAGAAGTCTATGGTGTGGTGAAGGCCTACACAACACGAGTGGGAATTGGAGCCTTTCCTACTGAACAGATAAATGTAAGTTTCGTGTTACCAAAGTCAAAGCAACAAGGTAAATTGAATAAAATGTTGTCAGCCTCCTGCTACCACATGTGCAAATATGCCAAGAGATGGTATTTTTATCTTGGAGCCAGCAATAGGCCAAATGCAAATCTCGAGGCCAATGCAAATTCCCTACTTCATTCTAAAGTAGGAAATGCACCCATGTGATGACCCATTCTTTTGATTGCTTTTAATATTCTTGCCTTACATGACTTACGTATGATGCTCACAGTTAGGCTCTGTAATGTACTCCAAGCGTGCCTGTGTTGCCAGAGGCATAACTGGTTTGAACCTGAATTTAAGATTACCTGTTGGTAGTGCTTACAAAATTCCTTACTATCTTGAATTGGAGTTCGTGTTCTGTAGAAATTATCCATATGTAGGCTAATGGCTAGCAGTAGGCAAACAGAACCATATGTTTTTCACAATAAGCACTCTCGAGAATATCCAAGACCTATAATTAACTTGGAAATTGATTATTCAAACCTGGTTTGCACATATCCCCTAATCTATGTGTTGTTGAATTTTAGGTTGTGATGCACAAAGCCAATTGTACTAACAAACCACAAGCAAACGAGAAAGAAAACCCATGAGTTGTTGATGGGTTGTGAACTCTGGGTTGTTTAATGGGTTGTTTCAGGGTGAGAACAGGGGGAAAAATTAAAAAACAACAGTTGCTCTACCTGCCAGTACTGCAACACCACAGAGTCATTTAGGATACAAGAGGGGAAAGAGGGAAACAAACAACCCAGAATTAGGAAAACAAACCTTGGTTTGTCTAATAGTCTGCTAGACCAAGACCTGGTTTGCATGTCATGAGAACCCCCTATGGATTAATTAACACTCAGGGTTATGGCAGTGTGTGCAGGTCCATTTTAAATATGCACGCCACTGCTTCTGGATGGAGTTTGCATATCCAAAATGGCAGCTGGCATGCACTGCAGCATGTCAAGCATTAATAAAACCATGGTGGTATGTCATGACTTGTGAACAGCCCAAGCCTTAGGTGGGAGAACAAACTATGGCTGACCATGAGTTAAATAAACAGTGGGTTAATGTTATGTGTGGACCAGATTATAGGCTCAGTTCAGACAATCCTCTGAATTTTGGAAGACTGAATGAAGATGGGATTCTTGCACTCTCCCACACAGCTTGCCTCTTTGTTTCCTGTACAGCACAGTCTTACTGTGATGTGAAAACTGGTGTTCTGTGTCTAGCACTTACGTTAGTCAGAAAGTGCTTTGAAATAAGTTTTTGTCTCTGGGATTTAGAGGAGCATCAGCCATGGCTTGCCATATTAGATGCTTGGCAAACTCTGCCTAAATCAAAATAAGAAATGGAGAGGCAAGTGCTTGCAGGGGAGGGGAGGCTTTGTATAGCTCTTTCCCCACCCCATGCCATGGTTGGAGGATCATAAAAATCCACTTGACAAGTTGAGCATCTTTTATTTTCTAAACCAGGTTATGCAATTTGTGACCCATCAAGTTTTTTGGTCTATGGTGGTGATTATAGCATTAGCACCAGTCAATGACCTGGAAGAGGGGGTGACCAGTCTGTTGATCAAATTTGCAGATGATACTAAAATGGGGGCAGTGGCCACAACGGAGGAGCAGGTACTCCGGATCCAGAAGGATCTGGACAGTCTATGGAAGTGGACCGGGGACAACAGGATGGTATTCAACATGGAAAAGTCCAAGGTCTTGCACCTGGGGCATAGAAATGGGTGTCATAACTACAGGTTAGGGGACAGGTGGCTGGTGAGCAGCACTTGTGAAAGGGATCTCGGGGTACTGGTTGACTGTAGGCTAAACATGAGTCAGCAGTGTGACACGGCAGTCAAGAGAGTGAACACCACCCCTTGGTTGCATAGGTAGAAATGTGGCTTCTAGATCAAGAGAGGTATTACTACCACTCTATATGACTCTGGTGCATCCACAACTGGAGCATTGTGTTCAGTTCTGGGCTCTACATTACAGGAAGGATACAGCCAAGTTGGAATCGGTACAGCGTAGGGCCACAAGAATGGTGGCCGGATTGCAGGGAAAGCTGTGTGAGGTGAGACTGAGAGAGCTGGGTCTTTTCAGCCTAAGGAGGAGAGCTGGGAGGAGACTCTGAGGGGATCTCTTGGCAACATATAGGTACATGATGGGGTGCCACACGGAGGTTGGTAGAGACCTGTTTTCCCCTGCAGAGGAGGGCAGGATGCATTCCATGGGAGCAAAGCTCAGGGAACCAAGGTTCTCTTTGGATGCCAGGAAGTACTTCTGACAGTTAGGACCTCCAGGGTATGGAATGGGCTTCCACGGGAGGTCGTTGACGCCCCATCAGTGAGGGTGTTCAAGGATAGGCTGGACATGCACATTTTAGGCATGTCATGAGTGGAGCCGGCTCGAGCCGGGGGTCATACTAGATGGCCCGGGAGGCCCCTTCTGACTCACTCTGTTTTTATGTTTCTGTTTTCTATGTTACAGAGCCAGTATGTTACAGAGCCAGTGATGAGACTTGTGGCCCTTCAGATGTTTTGGCCTGCAAGTAATCAGCCCGTGTTCTCAAAAAAATGTTTAAAGATCACGGGGCATCTCACAAATACAGTGGATCAGTTACTTGCAGGCATTTGGCATTCTGACAACCAATCTTTGCAGATTGGTTCCTAGTGGTGACTCCTCTTTTCTTTAAGGGGCTTTCTTACCTGTTCCACTCATTTGTGAAAGCCTTGATGGGTGAACACGCACATATGCTAATCAGATTTCTCTTTTGTGGTCCATCTGTCAGACGCCCCAGATAATCTTATGTTCTTGAAGTTGTGGCCATATATTCTTGAAGAGCCCACATTAATCAGAAGCACATTTTCTGAACTAACCTTACAATGGCACAATTTCAGATCAAAAATGTTATATTATTATAGAAATAAGAATGCCGTCTATTACAAACTTCTAGATCTGCCTGCTCGCTAGTACATTGCATGCTTGTTGACATCTTAAAATCTTTTTCGAAATGAAATAAATTGAAACCCTACAGTCCCTCAGTTGGCCTCTGAGCTGTAGGATGCAGCAGAATTGCAGCTTCATTGGGGGAGGGGGGGCTTCCAGGAACTGTCAGTTCCCACACAGAAAGCTCTTCCAGCATTGACGTTCTGCTAGCAGTGCAGGATCAGGCCAAGGGTGTTCTGGGGTGGGTTGCAGCAGGCCTAGGAAGCACAGTCTTCCCATTTGCCCAGTTTGCCCTCAACAGAAGAAGCAAAACTGAAGCTGGCGTGGTGCCCCCCCCCCCATTGTTGCCAGAGAGTGGAAAAAGGACCCCATCCAGTATTTCACACTGGCCAACATGAGCTGGCAGCAGTTAGGAAATGGTGGTTCCTTTAACCCGGGTTCAAAGAATTGCTTTGCAAGTTGTTTCGGCCAGCTGATGGAACAGAAGCTTCACAGGCAACTTTGTCCCTGGCAGGAAATTGGAAACCTCTTACAGTCCCGAGGCCATGAGTGGGGAGTAACCACAGGCAGAAAAAGACGCTGTGGCTGGCTAGACCTGGTCATTTTGCGATATGCTCATATGATCAACGGATTCACTGCGTAAGCATCAAAGGTTTTGAGCTACCATTGGGACTCGTAACATTTTATCCTGTGAAGTCCAAATATGTAGGTAACATTAACTAGTCTAGCAAAGTATTCTATTTTGTATATTGATAAGAGACTCTTGTCCTTGATGTCATAAGGGGAATGCTGTTTGCCTGTGATGGGGCTTATGTTTTTCCATGCAGGTAGGGCAGGCATATAGAAAGCGATTTTCGGAGGGAGGCGTGAAGCAGTATAGGATCTAGTCTCTGCATCAAGCTCTGGTTGGGTTAGACGGATGATTAGCATTAGCATTCATGGTGTAACAGCGTAATTTTTAACCCTGTTGAATGGCTGTGAGAACACACGGCTGAAGAAGGGCTGAGGAAGAGCACGTGGCTGCATGACTTGTCCCCAACCCCTTAACCAAAGTTAAGGGACAAGTAAAAATCTGCACTGCTCCAGTGAGGATGCTTGGAAGGAGATTCCACATCAAAAGAACTAGGAAACCTGTTGCTTTAAAAAGTTTTAAATCAGTTCAATGCAATGCCATCTTATATGCATACACTAAGAGTGTATATGAAATCCTGTCTACATTTGGGCATGTTTTCTATCTAATCCTACATAGGATTATGCCTTTAAGACCTATCTATTGATCAATTTGATTCAGAACTGCATCTTTAAAGGGGTTTCTGAACAGTGTGTACAATGAGTGATTACTTGAATTCATTTATTCCTTCTGTTATAATAATCTACAAGTAAGAAAACATAGAAACAGGTGAAGGGGATTAAAGAGGCTGTTGAGTGAAGATCTCTTTTAAACGTAATTTGATCTAATGTTTTCTGGGCAGTCTGGCATTAACAAAACTGGATATTCTGGATGTCCTTGATGAAATCAAAATTGGTGTTGCTTACAAGCTGAATGGCAAAAGAATTCCATATTTTCCAGGTATGTTAAACTTTTTTTTACTCTTGAAGTTGATACTTGCCCACACTCTGGCCATTCTTTTTTGAAAACTGTTGTATTACAGGGATTGTACACATTCAGTGGTACTACATGCTTGTTAGAATCATTCTTATGGAGTTGACCCTGTTGGCTGTAAGCAGAACTGTCTCTTCCATTATTCACTCTATCTGTAGGACTACCTAATAGCCAAAGACAGAATGCAAACAAATGTATTCTCTTAATTAAGACCAGTTTAGCCAACTACACTTGAAACTTTGTTAATGCCAAATAATTGTGTTTCTTATGAGCTAAATGACTGCATTCATGCTTTGACTCATTTTTGAAGCTAACCAGGAAATACTACAGAAAGTGGAGGTGGAATACGAAACAATGCCAGGATGGAAAACTGACACAACAAATGCCAGAAAATGGGAGGACCTTCCACCGAAGGCACAAAATTACATTCGGTTTGTGGAAAACCATGTTGGAGTGGCAGGTACAAAATTTACTTATTCAGCTTTTTTTTTAGCCTGCCATTCATAGTGGAACCCTGATCTTTTCAACACTATTTCTAAGAGGCCTGCCTACTCTCCTCCAGTCTGCTCTCAGGGAATTATTCCCAGTTGGGCAGAGCAACTGTTTCAATCTTTTTTTTTGGAGGGGGGGAGTGTTGATTAGGCCACTGGTCCCTAAAAATTACTACTAGCACCTACAAAAGCCTTGAAGTAATGGACACTTCCTACCCATTTAGTGTGGAGACACTCATGCTTCAGTCTTATGGGACTGTGCTCCCCCACCACCCAAAATACACTTGGGGTTCATGCTCTTTCCTTCCAGGGTGAGGGAGGAAACACCCTGTGTTACATCTGGATACAGATTGGAGATAATCCTAGCCATGAAAACAAGAGAAGAGCAAGTGGAGATAGAGCTACAGATGGGAATGTGAATATATATAGTCTAAGGGTTGCATCTGGGGGTATGGAATTTGGCAAAGTATTTGTAGTCCTCCAGAGTTCTGGGACTTTCTGGGCTAGATAATACCACTGCTAAGATTACTATAGCCAAGTATGGCACAGCTTTGCCTCATCTTTAGTTATTCAAACTGATTTGTGTGTTTATGGCATAATTTTATGTTTTTAAAGCATGTATGGAAGTCAAAACACACTATTTTATTGGTATTTTCTGTCATTATTTAAACAATTACATTCTTCCTGTTACTGGAGTTCATTCCTGCTTTTGAGGACTGGGCTTCTAGAATCCATACACCAGTATTACAACCTAAGATAGATTTCCTTGTGATGCTTATATCCCAAAGAATAGTTCTAATAATTATTTATTTCTCTTATCTTCAGTTAAATGGGTTGGAGTTGGAAAATCAAGGGAATCTATGATCCAGCTCTTCTAAATGTACATAGGACCTCAGCGCCAAGAAACACAGTTTAGTGTTCATCTGTTCCTTTCTGTTCCTGAGCTTGGATGAAGATGCTGTTAAAATCAAAAAGCTCTTCCTAGACTATAATTAGACGTATCTTGTACTGTCAGTTTCATATAAAACGAATCAGGAACTCAGAATAAGAATGTGAGAGATTTGTGGATGGGAAATTTTAAGGTCACATTTGAAAAGTGACAGATACATATGGAATTATTCTTAAACACACTACCAGTACTGAAATTTATGCCAGATTGTAAAAGACTGTAAACCGAATATTCATGTTCCTATGTCAGGGAGTGAGAAAGTGGCAGCAGAAAATGTACTTACTGGCTTTCAAAATTAGGCTGGTTATAGTTCAGAACATTTCTTTAAAAGCTAGTAGAACTAAGCCATCCTTTTCAAGTCCAGCAGTTGAAGCAAATGTACTTGTGGAAACTGATTTGTGTAAGTAAAAGTTCTTTAAATATAAAATAAGGAGAGGCAAATGAGGTTATGTCATAGCAAGAGGAGGTAAGCCAGTCGCAAACAGCATTAGTTGGGAGTGGGTCAAACTGGAGATAGCTGAGTGACCTTGAGATAAAGAACTTCCTTTCAGATATTTCCCAGTGGACACTCCACGTGAAGCTCTTCCAAGGTGCTGCTTGTTTGCCTTAGTGTGCAACAGGCAGGGAGAAAAACCACAGCAAATTTTAAAAATATAGGGAGTTGCAACGGGAGAAAAAGTCACTTTTGCTGCTGTGGTGTCATCTGTGCCTGTATTTTGCTAATCAGCACTAGGACCACAATCGCTTGTGGCACTTTGGACGGTCCCTAAAGTACAGTACACTGAGCAGATGTACCAATCAGGCACCAGCCTTGAAGGGTGCTTCCAGATGGAGGGCTCCTTTTGTTGCCAGTCAAAAGACATTGTGCAGCTATACCATCTCTTCTTCCTTAACATACTTTTTAAAAACCTGATAAAAGACAGAAGTAGTGGTGGGAAAGTCGGAGAGGGCTACAAAATGAATTTGCTTGGATTACCCATAAAATTCCATGAATGAAGCAGTGTGACTGCACAGTAAAAGCCTCATCTGGAAGTGACCTTTAGCAGCACAGATGCTGAAAAGCTAGGAAGTCTGATGGGGAGAAGAATAAGTTCCCCAGGAATGAGCTGGCTGGCCGGTTCCTCGTTGTAGCCCCACCAACATGCCAGGGAATGCACAATAACCCCCAACTTAATTTTTTAAGAACTGTGAGCTAGTTCCCAGCCCTTTAAATGGGGAGGAAGATTGGGGAATTTCTTGTCACTTCTGTATATTGTTTTGAGGATGCAAGTTACCAACATGCTGATGTTTTGATGTTGTAGTTTATCTTGCTTTTAAGGCAGTACTTCAGAAATAGAGGCCGTGTGTTTGTTTGTGAGATGTAAATTTAAGAACAGACTTCATGTTTTTACATTACTACTAAATATCCCATGCAAGGCAAAAATCACCAGTATATGATTCATGGGTTGTGCATATACCCAAACATCTAACATGGACTATGAACTTCTACTGGGATTCTGAGTGCCACAGGCATTTTAGCTCCAGAGTGAACACACTAGTGGGTGCACCCGGACCACTCATGGAGCGTGAGCTGCCCTTCCTCACAGATACACTTGAGAATCTCAGCTAGGGGGGAAATCTTAGTATATGTGGAAGCTCCATGGGCACAGTTGTGTGCATGAGTCAGGGCTGTTTCTTTCAAACGTGGTAGTATCTTTTTAAAGATGGCAAGAAATCTTCTTAGGCATTTTACTTGCAAATCTCTACAGCAGTATGTTGATCTAGAGCTTGCATAGTAGTTAGAGGGCCGAGTTAAACACCAGGAAGTCCCTGGTTTGAATTTTACCTCTGCCATTAACTCACTTGGCAGCTTTGGACAAGCCTTAGTCCTTCCCCTCCTGTCTGCAATAAGTGGAGAGGGGTCATAATATTGACCTATCTTACAAAGCTGCTGTAAGGATTGTAGTTACATAATGCAAGGGAAGTGCTTTGAACACTTGAAAGCACAATCAGGATGCTAAGCATTATGATCCTTGACAATCTCATCATGACCAAAACAGTTAAAGTTAGATAAACAAGATCTCAAGAACAGCAGCTAATGTGTATTTAGTTTAGTTCCTCTCGATTATTCTTCTTTTGTGTACACGTTGGGTCTTTTTTAGCTGCAATGCAGTACAATTGTCTTAAACAGTGTGGGGGGATGTAGGTTGATTCTTCCTTAATGGTAGAAACTCAAGCACAGAAAACTCTGCATTTAACTTTTTCTTAATTGTTACATACAATTCAATGCAGAGGCAAGCATGCTTAACTGCTGTAAAAGAAATTGGGTGTTCTGGTGTATTGGATAGTGATCACTTAATTACTGGGCTCCACAGAAGCATTTGCTCTAAGATAAATTTATTTTTTTTCCTTCTGAGGGGCAGTCCTTTGTGCCTCGTCAGGGGCTGCTGTGAAAATAGAAATGCCCTGTGATTAAGCAGAAGCAAATCTTGCCCATCTCTTGTTCTTGGCCAGTGCCTCTGCCTCAGCTTGCCAAGAATAACATGGCACATGATACTTGCTTTACCTACCTCATATAGTCAAAAGTAGGTTCTAGCTTGGTGCATGCCATGATAAACATGTTCGTCTAAGATGCCGCAGGATTCTTTGTATTTCCTGCAAGACTGCTCCAGAATACCTCCTGTTGGTTTTTATGAGAATCCTCTAAGTCTCCCTTTGACTTTTGAAAAGATTTAACTGTTATGTAGACCAGGTGAAGAACATTACTCAGATTCTAATGTTTTGTAAATCACTTCTAAAAGTACTGATTATGAGTGTGGATCTGGGAAAGCTTCTGTCAAGCAGTGTGCCTTTCTGAAAGGCTCCAGTCCTGTCAGAAATGGTTCAGGACCCTTCCCTTAACCTACAGTGCCTCAGTATATATGCATCTAAGGGAAGTTCACCAGCGTGGCCTTTACCCTGTATTAACAAGACTGGCTCCACTGCAAATCAGTTACTTGCTCACAAAGTTCTGTGGTTGTGTTCTGTGCCTCTTGAACAAATCTAGCTTTATATTTGAAATGCCATTGCTGTCCTTATTTTTTTTTTTTTTTTGCATCGCCCAGATGCATTTGTCAATATATTACTCATTTGCTGCATGCAGAGTATAATGATGGTGGGGTGGGGGGCACCTCTCCAAAAGAAATCCTTGTATACAAGTTGTGGAAATACAGCTGAAGGCATTAAGTGTTCCCATGCAAGACCCATTCGAATGAATGGATACTGCATACGAACATTTTGGTAGCTTTTGCTCCCTTCTACGGAACTCCTTATCAGGCCTTTCAGTTTGCACAAAATCACAGCTGACCTTTTGTTCCCGCAAATTTATTCTGTTTAACTGTTATAAATAGAGAACTTTATTGAACTGATGGTTTATTTTATTGGAAATGTTTGTTCCCACAAAGTAATAGCACTGAGTAAGTTTTAAATATTTATTTATTGAGGAATTATTTTACAGTCCACTGGATGATACACACCTTAATCAGAAATGTGTTTGATGTGAACAACGCATATTACTCTCTTGATGTTTCCTGTTAAACATTATATTGAACCTTTACTTGGAATTGGGTTATAATAATTTAGAGTCACTTTGTTCAGTGTACAGGTTAACTGAAATTTTAATAGTCTGAAACAAAATTCTGTAATTGAATTAATGAGGGGAATGGCATGAAAAGACACTAAAACGTCTTAAGTCATACATCACAGCAAGTACAGTGAAAAGGTTTTACATCTAACACATTTATGCTCTCTCCGTCACCCTGTTGCTGATGTCATTGGGTGTACACTGCTCAACAAATGCACTACAAGTGTTCTCAATCATTTTTGTACATTGGAAATGGAGCTGTAGCCTTTTATCTTGCAGCTCTTTCTTTTGCTTAATAAAGTCTTACAAGATAAAGGGGTGTAGGACTTGGTCTCTTGAGTCTCCTCTTTTTCACTCCTATTCACAGCCTATTGATTAGGTAATTTTCCACTATTGTGCATCAACATTTCTGGCAATCAGTTGCAGTTTTGGAGGATGGCACTGTATTTTACGTCAGCATGAGTGGCAGAATCTTCAGTATTTTGTATGTCACTTTACCATGGTAAAACCGTGTAAACCGCTTGTTGTAAACTGTCCTGAGAAATCTGTGAAGGGCTGGTATGGAAGTTTTCAATAATTAAATAAAACCACGCTCAAAGTACCTAAAGCATTCCTCCCAATTTGCACAATAAAATATAACATTGCTAAGGAATAGTTCTAAATCATGTTTTATTTATTTCAGTTCTATACCACCATGTAGCTGAAGCTCTCTGGGTAGTTTACAAACATGTATAAAACAAAATGTGACACAATACAAAGAACAATTAAATTTTAAAGTAGTTTTACTGTAAAAAAATACAATAAAAAGACCCAGCAAGAAGAAGAATCAGCAAAGCACCTGGATAACCAAGTGGCTCTTTAAAGGCTTTCCTCACCCAGTGCTGAAAAGATGGCAGATTTGGTGCCAGGCAGGCCACAGCAGGGAGGTTGGTCCAAAGATGCGGGGTGACATTTCATACACTATTATAGCTAGTAGTAATATTAATTTCTGTATTTCTTACACAGTCTTCCTCCTCCATTTTATCCTAATCTGTGTGAGAGGCCCAAAGTCACCCAGGGAACTCCATGGCCAGGCAGGGATTAAACCCTGCATCTCCCCAGTCCTAGTCCAGAACTCTAACCACTGCACCACAGTGGCTGTATTCCATAAAAACATACGGCATATGCTAGAGTTAAACAATCCGATAATTACAGAAGAAAGATTTGTCTGTAATGTGTGTGATGTTCCGGGAGCAGTAATCTTTGTTGAACTGACATGTTTAAGGCAAATATTAATGTGCCATTTAATCCCTTTATGTGCAATCTTAGCTGCACTTGCCGCATTTCTAGTGACTTGGGCACAAATCTGTCATTTTGTTTTATCACCATCAAGGGAAATAACTCGACTGGATGATTAAATGAATGGGAAAGTGGGGGACGAAGAAGAGGGCAAATAGAATGAAAAGGACACAGAAGAGAAGTCTGTTTTCAACCACTGTTTGATGACCCCCCCCCCGCACCATTTCTTCAAGCAGATATGGCCTTTGACCCCTCCAAAGATGGTTTTTGGAGGGGTTGCATCCCAAAATGTAAAGGGTTTTCAAAGTCAAACTTAGCATTAGGAGCTGTGGCTGAAAACACACTGGAAAGCAATGCAGCTCCATTCTCAGCGCTTAGATATGTTCCGTGCCGTTAGTTCAAGCCATTGTATTTAGCAGTAGCTGAAGTTTCTGGGTAGACTTCAAAGGCAGACCCACATAAAATAAGCCACCTAGGAAGGCCTCGGCAGTAATACATGGCCTATAAATTTGCATAAATAAATAAAATACATTCTGGTGGACTAATTTGGATGTGAACCAGGATATGAAAAACTGGTCAAGTGATCTCTGCCAATCCAGTCTGCTGAAAAGTGCTTTTTGACACAGATGCTACTACATGGGCATTGGAAACAAAGGGAAGAGTCTAACGGCACCTCAAAATGGTGACCTTGTGTCTCTGGGGGAAGCCTCACCTTATTGAGAAGTAGCAGCAAATCATTCTCCAAAGCAACAATACTATATAGGCAATCCACTGGCGAGCACACTGGCCATTTAGCGGATCAACCCACGCTGTTCCGACAGCATGTCAAAAACAGAAATACAGACAAAACAGCATTTGTTGCCGTTGTGGTTGAGCCCACACATTTAAAAACAAAACCCACACAGCAGTAAATGCTGCCAAGAGTGCTGAGGTTAACACCTTGGGTGTTTCTGCTGGAAGAGTTCGGCCGGCTCTGCACTGAGTAGTGGCGTGTTGCAAAAAAACCATAATGTAGGTATGAGCTTGTCCTGGGTTACATACCTGCCCCAGAACCCTCTAGTTGACATTTTCAATGGAGAAAAGCAACTGAGAACAGCTTTCTGCTGCTCACTTTTGAGCCTCTTTTGGATCAACATTTTTAACAACATATTTTAATAATTTAATTCATCTACCATTGCTTATAGCTCTTGCTCACTTTGCTATACAAATTTTAAACAAGCAAACTATTGCCTTCCCTGTGCTCAATTAGGAGTGCTAATAAATTCATCCTAATTGCAGGTTCTGGCAGAAATACATACTCTCTTAGGGTGAATTTATGAAGGTCATATAGGAATTCACCATGCAACCCTACATATGTCAACTCAGAAGTATTTTTTCTTTGTTTTGAATGGTTTAGGATGCAAGGATTGTGGCGTTCCTGTTGCTAGTCTTGCTGAAACTGCCCTAGTGTTTGTTAAATTTGAATGTTTTGACCTAATAGGAGCCCCCCCACCCCAGCCATTCAAATTCAGTTTCATTAGGTGGCATGAAGTAGCAACTCAATCAGCTCTTGAAATACAGGGATTGAATGTACAAAATCCTGTGGAAGCTTGGATTACATTATTATCCTGCTCTTCTCTTTCTGTACAACTCCAAGGGACAGGAATGGCAATTCTAACGTATTCACTTGGAAACCTTTTAATTAAAGGTGGGAGACTGAGAAAGGAAGAATTTTGTGTGTAACTCAACTGCTCTACAGAGTGGGGTGCAGGTTGATGTCTAAATATATTTCTGCATCCTTTGCAATGTGAAAGTCCATTCATCCTTCTCCCCACACGCCGCACTGGACACTTTCTTTTCAGGTCACAATTACATACAGCGATTGGAATACCCTCAAAGGACTTAAGTTCTAGAGAAGCAGACAAATCTGGAATGTGGAAAGGTGGGAAGAAGATGCCAGCAAAGCTTTTGCTTGCTTAAGCATTTTAAAGAGTGTGTGTGCTGGGGTGAGGCTTTCTTCAAATGCGTCTAGCAATGAGGCCATCGCTTTATGTTCGTAACATAAAAGTAGTGGCTTGCAAAGTGAAGTGGTGTTTTGGTAACTCTGATAAAAGGGGATTATTAAAATATTTTAGTAAATCAAATAATAAACATTTTTAATTAATAGTTACCATTACTCCATCCCTTTAATTGTCAGTGCAACGTAAAAGGGGCCTTCTGGATAAGGATCAGCCCCCTCCATCGTGCTGCTATATTCTGTTTGGCCGCTACAGCCACTAACAACTCTGTTCTACCATGTATTGATTCCTAGTAGGAATGTAGGCTGAGATTGTAGCACCACTTGTCCACATTCTGGGGAGCTGAAACCCGGTTTGCAACTGGGATTTTCCATGGTAGAAACGCGGAGCTATTGCCATAGATTCTTGTAACTCTGCTGTCCTTCCATTTGGCCATCATGTAGCCTTGCAGTCCAACGTTGTTACATGCCTATTCAGAAGTAGCCCTCACTGGGATCAACAGGAGCAGGTAAGTGTGTTCCGCAGTTCACAACCTTGTGCCCTCTAGGTGTTTTGGACTTCAGCTCCCAGCAGCACCCGCCAGCAGTGTGAATCAGCAGGAATTCCAACAGTTGCCCCATACGGAGGGCACCAGGGTGTTGTCCAGAACTTTAGCACACAAGCACCTGGAAGCAAGTCCTGCTGGACTCTGGTTTACTTCTCTAATGAAGAAGGCTCAGAAAATTAATTGAAAAAACCAAAATCCTATTTTAATAGCCATTCCACCCTGTAAGGTACTTCCATTGCTACTTTATACAGAGCTGGACCTCACTGGGTACAATTCTGATGAAATAAAGTGGGGATTGGACCAAGACTGCAGTATAGGCATAAGTCAACCGGCAGGAGGTCACTTTGATCTTACACAGGCAACTGCTTTATACAGAGTCAAATCCTAATGTCGCCTCTTGACCAGTAGCAATAGCTCTCTCTGGTTTTTGGCAGAATTCTTTCTAGATCCACACAGAGATGCCAGGGACTGAACATGGGACCTTTGGTACACACAGAAGGGGCTCCACCACCCCCTGCAACCTTCTCGAAAGTACAGAGTGGCGTTGCTTTGTCACGCACACACACAGTGAAACTAAACTGAAATACTAACTGAAAAGGAAAATTCTACACAGAGCACAATGCTTTAAAAATTCTGGAAGGGTATAGCTCCATGTTACAGAAAATGGGAACATAATGTGACAGAATATTTAGGAAAGGTTATGAAAGATAGACGTATGATGTAGCCGCAGAAAACAGCTAGTGCACTTTCAGCTTGCCATTGAAGAAACAATTTCCAATTAAGGAGAGGCAGTGGTTCCATGTCATTTGCACTGGAGGGGCTGTAGTTTGGGCTTCAGCACATGTTCTGCATGAGAATGTCCCTGGATCAAGTCCCGATAGCCTCAAGAAACACTAACGGTGTAATCCTATGCTAGTTTAGGCAAAATAGCACCAGCTCCCAAGCATTCAAACCCAAAATGGCTTGAGGTCTGATTACCTGAAGGATTGTCACCTCCCATATATAATTAGCCAGACAAGAAGATCGTCCTCAGTGGCTCATCTGTGGACGTATCTACCAAAGGAGGTCAGAGGAATGGTTACTAAGGAGGAGGTGATACTTATGATGTTGAATAAACTTCCTAGCAATGCTCACCTGCCACAGTGTATTTTTCCAAGCACCAACTGCAGACTTTTTCTGCTGAAAGATTTTTCAGAAATTTTAGTCTTTTAGCATCTTTTGCTTTAAATCCTTTATTTTAAATCTTTGTACTGCTGTTAGGGTTCATTTTGACTTTTATTCTAGCATAGTGGTTAGAATACTGGACTGGGACTCAGGAGATCTGAGTGGTGATTCTAGTCCCCATTTGGCCCTGAAGCTCACTTGGTAACTTTGAGGAGACCAGTCACTGATTCTCAGTTTACGTTACAAGAATGTTGTTGAGAGATGGAAATAGAGGTGGATTATGCAAGCTTTCTTGAGTTCCTTGCAAGAAAAAAGGTGGCATATAAATCCAATACATACATATTTTATACCTAAGTTTTAATGTTTTTAAATAATTGTGAATTGTCTGGAAAACTTCGGCAACTGGGAGTTATATACACGGGACTGCACCTGAAAGAGACCCCGCTTGAAACCCTCGATCGCTACCAATCAGTGTCCAGAACGCTGGTCCAGATGGACCATTGCTATGACTGAGCATAAAAGTTTCTTCAAAATCAAATGTGCAGCCTTGGTCTGTCACTATCGTTTGCGAGTCGTGTACTCACTCAGCCCCGACCCTCCTCCCCATGCCCACGACGCTCAAACACTCCCTTCCTCAGCCTGGAGCCCTGCAGAACCGGCTGGCAGGAGGATTATGGGAGTTGTAGTTCGCCCTACCGCACGGCCGGCTCTTGACTAACGCCCCTCCCACCAGCCTTGCCGCAGACGAAAGTGCTCCGCCCACACGCTCTTTAAACAATGCTACCGCTCCCTCCCTTCCGTCCGCGCCGCTCCGTGATTGGCCAACCAGTCAGTGACGTATGTAAGAAAGAAGGCGGGTTGCGAGGTTGAGGTACCAACAAGAGGTCTGTTGACGGTGGCCTTTACCCTGCGGGAAGGCGCCGCTCCTTAGTAATAAATACCTTTGGTTCTCGGGCTGTTCGGCCGGCGCTGAGGGACAGGGATGCCGAAGCGCTCCTGCCCGTTCGGGGAGTCGGCCCCGGTGCAGCTGAAGACCCGCGTGAGGCTGAGGGAGCTGAGCCAGGGCGTCATGGGCGAGCGGTACCAGCGCGAGATCTTCGGTGAGGCAACGTGGGGAGTGGACTGGCGGGAAGAGTCGGCGCGGGCGTGTTCTCGCGAGAGCAAGGCTTTGGTCAAGCGAAGCCCAACGCCAGCCTAGGCTAGGGCCTTCCTCTCGCGAGAGCTGGCTCTCGGCCGCCGCTCTTCCTCTCCTCGTCCCTTCCAAGGAGGCGGGCCTCCCGGCTGGGTGGGCGGGGTCTCTTCGAAGGGGTGGGGCGGAAGAAGCGCGTGCAAGAATGTGTCGGATGAGGTCATGCCCAGCTTCGCCCAGTGGGGGGAGGTGGCAGATGACGTCAGCGTGCTTGCCGCGAAAAAGGTGCCCGGGCTGTAGCTGTGCGAGATGCAGCTCGGAAAAGTCTTGCCGGATCAGGCCAGGGGCGGCCGAGTCTGGCATCCCGCTCACCTAGTGGTCAACCAGCTGCCTGCCAGAAATCCGGAAGCTGGACATGAGTGCGACCCAGTCCTGCTGTCCAGCCACTGGCCTATGTACGCGTGCTGTCCGTGATAGCATAGTCAGGACTCAAATCCCGCGAGCACCTTATCCTCCGTATGAATCCCCACCTGGTGTTTCTTTTCTAAGCCCAAGGCCCTAGGCTCACGTTTGTCTGGTTTGGCTTGCTTGGGTGGAAAAATACCCTCTGCATGCCCAGAGGCTCTGCAATTCTTGTGTTTGTTTTGGAAATACTGCATCAGGTTCCAAGGCCGTGTTATGAGTGGAGAACACTCGATGTGGTGTTTGGCAGAGGGGCACAAGTAACATTTTTCCTTCCCCATGTGACAAGGAAATGCAGGAAACTGCTGGCAAAGGCTTGACTGTTGGAGGACTTGCCCACGGGCTTTCTAGAGCTGGCACTGGTTGTCTTCCTCTGCACTTAAGAAGCACTGGGCATATTTGACAAGAAGTTTAGTGGTCTTACTTTCTGTAGATTCCAATTTGCATGTGGGCAGTTTCTCTATTTTCTGTACACTAATTCTCCTGATTGTGTGTGTGTGTGTGTGTGTGTACACGATCTCTAGCTCTTGGCTTATTAACTTCTTGTGTCTCCATTGTATCCTGACTTACTGAATCTGTGTATTTCTCTATGTGGTCTTACCATCACATTATTTTCTCTTATTTTATCTGCTGAAGTAAGTTGTTGTCCAGAAAAACCTTTGTAAACAGCTCTGCCTGTATGCACTTGTCTTGGCTTCATGCTACAGTGCAAATCCAAAGTATAGAAGGGGGGTGGCAGGGCTTGGTGTGTGAAACATTGGTACTGAAACCCCCTTACCCCCAAATTATGAAGTCATAGGCCCTAACTTTTCTACGGTGCTCTTCTTGCTGCTACCACAGACTACTGCCACATTAACATGTTGTATTTTTTTCAATAAAATTTTAAAACATTGAGATGTCAAGTTCGGCTTAGATCTATTATACAATTCAGTTTCAAAATGTAGCTGTACCAGAATGCTTTCCATTTATGTTTAAGCCATTCCCTGTCTCGTTAACAAAAAATTGACTCTGGGGTGTATATAGAAAGATGACAGCTTGGAAGCCCATAGGGATTGCCTTACAGGAAGGAAGGGTCTCTTACTAGGTTGGCAGTGTCTCAGTAAAGTGTGGAACCACTTCACCTGCAGTCCCTAGCGAGTGTTCTGAGGGCAGTAGAGAGGGAAGGCCCTGCATCCTGGCTCTGAGGCTGCAGAAATGGGTACTCAGTGTAGCAGGAGAGCATATTTGAGAAGTGCTGGGAAGAGCACCGTTGCCACTACTAGTTATTTGCATGGATTGCCGTTGCCTGCGACTTGAAAGCTAGTAGTATACGAGGCTGAAAGGGACAAGAACTGTGGCTCGGTGGTAGACTGCATTCTTTAACACGCAAAAGGCCCCAGATTCAGGGCCTGGTATCTCCAGGTGGGTCTGGAAAAGTCTTGTCAGGAATCTTGACGAACTTATACCCAGTAGTACAGGCAGTACTGATCAGCTGGGCCAGTCTGACTTGTGCAAGGCAGCTTTCTGTATTCCTAACATGCCTCTGAACAGGAAGTTCCTTCCTGGGAAAGAGGGATGGTTCTCATCTGATGTCTTCAGGAACCTTCGGGTTACGGGGTGGCCTAGAAATGGAATTAAATAAATAATGCTGGCTTTTTCCCCCTCTTGGGAAAGGTGGTACATCTTCCTGGTACTGTAATTTTGGGGCACCAGTTTAGATTATCTTCCAGACATTCCTGTCTCAATCTCTGTTCTTGTTCATTTGTGCAGAGAAAACAAAAGAGCTGCTCTTCAGAGGTGCCCAGGCTTATATGGATAATTCGTGCAGCACATGCAGTGAGAACACAGCGGGAACCTGTCTAAATGCGGAATACCCAGAACCACTTGCAAGCAAACCAGGAGGTTGTTCTCAGCATAGGTGTAATGGACAGATGTTAATTGGGCAGGATGGAAAACTTCGGCAGCCTTGTGCAAGCGAAACAGGTAAGTGACATCAGCACGCTGCCAAGTGCTTGTGTGCTTTCTTGTTTGTTGCTGTCAACTATCAGGTTCAGTGTTAATAGGAGAGCAAAAGAGGTAGCTACGATGCATCTGATGTTCAGGTACAAAGCAAGGTGTAATTTGCTGCAGCCGTGTCTGGGGGAGAAGCTGCATTCATGAGTTCTGTGAAGCTGCCGTAGGTGAGTAACATAGCATTGAGTTAAAAAGGCTTCCTCACTTCACTGTTGCAGTAAGTAATCATGGCGTTGGAAGGGACCTAAGAAGTCACTGAATCCTACCTCCTGCTTCTGGCCACCCAGGGGCTATGCCTTCCCTCTCGCTCGCTGTGCACTAATAGCGCACTTTTCTCATGATTACCCTTCCGCTGTGCTTTTTGAGAGCATTCTGCAAGCATGGTATTGTTTGTGCAAAAGAACACGGTGCCGTGCGAAATGGAATGTGCCTGTTGTATGCATGCAACTGCTTGTTTGTACGTATATACAGTAGGAAGTGACTCCTCTTGCCTCTACAGTTTTGTGGGTAGTTTAGTTTGGAAGAGCAGAGGAACAAGGCCTTCTTTGCTCGAGGGTGCATCAAGGTAGGGTGTGTGTTCTGTAAAGGTGAGCAAATGGCGGTAAGAGATACATCCCTGCAAAGCATGCATGTCCTGCAGCTGTGAGAACATCATGTGCAAGCTGAATGTGCTGGTGCATGTGACTGGCGGTATGACAAAGCCTTCATAAATCTCACCAGATGAAATGAAATTGTAAAGCTACAGCTCAGTGGCAGGACAAATTGTTGGCAGCACTGAGCTAGATGGATCTGTGGGCAGCTCTGTTTTTTATGCAGATGGCTTGCAGACGGTGATTTGCTTTCTGAAGCAGGTGCATTTCTACGACGCATTTCTTGATGCTGAAAGCAGCTCTCTGTGTTTCTGCGCAGCCTTGCCGGTAGGGGTTTCGGTGGCCTGCTCCTCCTGTGTAAGGACCATGGACATCAAAGAAGCCTGCACGCAGTGCGACCGGTACATATGCCAGAACTGCAGCCAGCTCTGCTGCAGCTGTAATGCCGTTGTTTGTTCCTTGTGTTCAGTCACAGAGTAAGTGTCCATGAAGAACAGACTTGAGTTAAATCTTCTTTGGCTGTATGCTGTGGTGATTACCAACATTTCTGCCAGAATGGGCATGTAATTTTGACATGATATAAGGCATAAGTTCATTTTGGAATGTGCTGTTTTGTTTTGTTTTGTTTTTTAAGCCTGGATTGAAGTTTGATCCCAAGAATGGCATGTATAGCCTAAAGAATTTCCTTGTGCTGGTAGCTGGGAACATAGCCTTGCTTTCTGACCTGAAGCCTTGAGCCAAATGATGGAAAGTTAGTGTTTCCACAAGTGGAAGATGCTCAGTACATTGTTCGGCTTAACTTTAGCCCAGAGGATGGCCTGAAGGCGCATAGGGCATCCACCATATTGAAGCTAAGCAGGTCTGGGACTGGCCTGACCTTGGAGGGGAGACCACCAGGGAACTGCATGTCACTGCTTTGAGTTTGACAGTGGGAGAAAGGTGGGGTATAAATATAATAAATCCTGCATGGGAAAAGACTTCTGCAGGGTTTGGGCTATTGACCTTTTCCTTCTCATTTGGTGCCCACAAATTAACTTTACTGGCAAACTCTTGAGAGGAGGCAGTACTTCCAAAATGGAATTTATTGGGAGAAGAGATGTTTACACCCATCCCTCATGAATGTGTGGTCTCCTGTAGCTAGACTAGCCTATGTATTTATCAGCTCCATCATTTGATTTAGCAAGGCAATTCTTAGGTGCTTATGCTTCTCCATTAGGCTAAAAGGCTTCATTGTGAAAAGCAGAGATTGTATGGAAGAGCTAATATTGTCCTCCTAGAGTCTATTGACTAAAATGTAACACGGAATTAATTTGCATCTTCTTTCTTCTAGGACTGATGATTTTGGTGAGCGAATCCTCTGCAATGGCTGCCTGATGTTTAAGGACTCAAATGCTTGAAACAGCAGTGCCCTGTTTTATGGACACATTCTCTGGGACCTGTAAAAAAGCATTTTTAATAGCTGGACATTTTTTCCCTAGTGTGTGATATGTTGGATTGCCTTTTTCTAAAATATTATATTTCTATAAGTGTAGTTTAATGAAATAAACATTTTATATTTTTATAAGATCTGAATTTTGTGTGACCTGGTTAAACTTAAATCTCTTCTGGAGGGTATATTTTACTAGCCTTGCATCTATTTTGGTAATGCAAATGAAGAATATCTTCCTCTGGTCCCTGGAGAATGTAAATTTGATTGAACATATTAGTTGTAAACTTATTTATAGCATCTGTTGAAAAGCTGTTTTGGCTTATTAGCATTTTGTCTTTGCAGTACCTACTACTCCTTACAAAAAGGTTATTTCTAGATCTGGTTTCTAAATGATAAACTCTAACCCAGTTCTTTAGTTACTCTTGCTCACTTGTATATTGCTAGCTGTTTATTTTTTAAAAAATAAACTACTTTTAACTCTCTTCTCCCAAGTAAAGGTGTTGGACAAGTATGAAAATCTGAAACCATAAGAGAATTGCATCGCAACAGAGATATGCTAGAATTACTGGAAAGTTAATTTTATGAAAAATAATACGAGGCTGAGGTGGATTGTAGAATGTCTGCAGTTCTCATAGGTAAACAGATTGTGTATGAAAACAGCCCCGGGATTCTTAATATCCAAATCTGTCCTAAGAAAATCATCCCTGCCTCTATTCAGTAATGGTTTTGGTGACTGTCAGACTGGCATATGAGGGTACTTCATGCAGCTGTTGGCCCAGCTGTTCTAATATTGCCTACTCTGGTACTGCCACTTTCAGTTCAGGCAGAGATTTTAACAGCAATTCTAGGTGTTCATTGAACCCGGCGGCTTTACACAAAGCTTGTATCCTGTCAGAGAGCTAAGGGCTACCTTTTGATGTTATTTATATGTATCCTATATGCAATTTATGAAACCAAACTTTGATTCAAAGCCTAGGTGAGACCACGGGTTATGAGAAAGAACTTGCTTACTTGGGTCTAGCAAGAGCTGCTAACCTAAATAAAACCTTGAGGTTTAAAATCAGTATACCTTTGGTCACCAATCCTTTAGAAAAGGGTTCCTCAAGATGGTTTCTGTAGGTGTCGCAGTACTTGTGAGGTTCTTCCACCAATCCTTGTAACGGGATCACCAAGGTGGCAACCTGAAGCACCTGTGAAGTGTTCACTCTTTCCCATGGTAACATATGCAAATAGATTTGTATATGCACAGCAGTGAAATCCATGCAACAAAGAATCCCCTGGAAGTTGGCATTATGTCACCCATTCAAATACTGAAGGTATTTTAAAATCCTTGGGCCACTGCATTAAGAGCTGTTGTAATATTAGTCTTTCAGCTGTCAGAAGGCATGGAGAATTCATTTATGTTTAATCGTGTACGTCAGTAAATACTGCAACCTGATCCAGTACACAATTTATCCGTATAATTTACCTCCTACCGGAAAGAAGCAACTACTGGGGTTGGCTAAAACCGTGTGTGTAAAAGAAGCACTATCTTGAATGCATTGCCACTAATTAGCTGAATGGGACAATTCCTTATTAGATGCTGCAGCTTTTGTTGAGTAAGATGTAGCCAAAAATCTATACACAGAACAGGTAGACATGGCTGCCCACAGCAGTTCCTCCAAGTGCCAGATATGCTTGCAGGCCTGGAAAAAACCTACAATCAGTGCCAAGGCCAACATGTACATTTCTCTGTTGGCGGTAGACTGCTCCGGATGGATCTTTACCTGATCTACAGCAAGAGAATACGAAGCGTGTTGGCCTCCCTTTTCCTTTGCCCTTGATAGCAGTGTGCAGCGTAAGGGCTAGAGCTTGCGATTTTGCTAGCTCTGTCTGCAGGCAGGTGCCTGCTGTGTCAGATGCTCACGAGCTGGTCCACTGAAGCTGGATGCTCAGGCTGTGACTGCTGAGCACTGCTCTTCCTCAAGAGGGAAGGCGCAGTCAGATCATTCAGCTTGAGGCAAAACCAGGTTGAGATTTAGCAGAGAAGCAAGTAGAGAAGCAGCTACAACGGGCAGTGAAAATAAAAGGCATGTGGGATTGAGGATTATTTATAGTTAAAGGGTAATGTGGCCTAGTATCAAAAGCAGAGATGACCAAAAAGAGCAAGGCAGAAATCTAAGCCTCCGCTCTGCCTTGGGACAGACCTAGAGAGCTCTGTTGTACGATTGTTGTTAACTTACATTATTATTTATTCAAAGCTTTTTATCTTTTTCTTCAGCTGAGAGCACAAGAACAGCCCACAAACATCAGAAATTGGCATTTGCAATCTTAAAAGGCACAACACAAAAGGAAAGACCATGGGGAGGGAGGAGAAAAGCAGGTCAGATTTTTAGTTGCAAAATTCAGCTGCTGAATGCAAGGACTGCTGCTTCATCTCCCATTGATAGCCTCCATAGCAGCAGGTGATAGAATCCCCAGGATGCAACTGAAAGTCACTTCTGGTGTGCCACAGAGGTTCTGCTAGGATAAATTCTGTGCATGTCTTGTTTTCCATCAGAATTATGACACAAAAATTGTGCGCCATTTCTCTGCAGAACAGAGGCCCCACAGCTTGTCCAATAGCTTTTTGCTGGACTTTGCAAGCCCCAGTCTTAGCAGCAGACAAGATGTGCATTCCCTGTCCATCGTGATTTGAACACCACTATTTCTTGTGTCAACATGCAGCCAGAAAAAGGCTGGGGGGGGGCAGTGCAGCCCCCCGCAACCTCTGCCTACCCTTCCCCTGACTGCATGAGTCCCCAGGGGAAGAGGGGAACTCTACTAGCTGTTGTTAGCATGTGACTCAAAAAAGACCCACATTTTAGTCCCCTACTCAGCCAGGGAGCTCACTGGGTGACTTTAGGCTAGGTAGTGACTTAGACCCTACTTAACCGGGTTGTTGTGAGGATAAGACAGGAGGAGTAAATAAACTGCCTTGGGAACCTTGCAGCAAAAAAGACAGAAATATAAAAAATGTGTAATGTCTGTTTTTAGAAGAATAAGAATTGAACTAAAGTTCAATTCTTGGTTTCTTACCCCCCTTTACATATTTATATAAGCCACTAATGGGCTTATATAAATAAGATATAGATGCAACAGATTTCTGGCTACCTCCCTACCCTGGCCTAACGCTGTTCTCACCTGCCATTGCTTTGGTTGTGGCTTTGCATTTTCCAAGCCATTTCAAACAGAGCATTTCCACCTGTAACTGAAATTGGGACACTTCTTCCCGGGCTGTACTAGGTGGGACCAGAGGGGACCTTACTGTGTCCTTTCCCTACAGGCTTCAAATTCCCACAGCTGGATGTGATGTTGACTGCATGCAAGAAGCTGCTCCCACTTCGACAAGCATAAAACTCCCATCCATCGAGGCACTTGCACTGTCTGCGGTCAGTGAGACATCCAGGCTGGTTTTTCTGCACAGGAGCGTGATGTTCCTCGAGTGCATCGACTCCTTCATCTAAACTGCTCAACTTGGCCAATTAGACTGAAGCGGCAGGTGAGGCATCATTGCATTCCAAACCAAGGCAAAGTCCTCTTTGCCTGTGGCTTTGAATGCTAAACTAGGAGTTCTGGGGTTCATCAGTGCTGGGGCAGCGGATTCCCTTGCAAAATGACTTTGTGGGGAGGGAAAGGACTTCCCCCATTCCTAAAATGACTCTATGGTAGTAGGCAAGAGCAGTTGCAAAACACTCATTTCCTAGATGCTAAACTGATGAGACAACGTTGCCCAAGAGGTGGCGATATGAGTTCAAAATAGGAAACCACTTCTTTGAACCTCTGAAAAGATGCGCTGGAGGGTAAAATGGCACCTAGAAGTGTGTTAGCTTCCACTAAAAAATAATTTGGAATATTTAATAAAAATCAAGAGCAGAAAGACTTGCGAGTGCCAAGAGAGATTATGTGGTACAGTAAATGAGTACATTGTTTTTGCATGTGAGCTACCTCTGGAATTGCCATGTACAGTAGCACACTTATTAACTGGGACTGAACTGGTGGGATATTTCTAGTTAGTTGTTTCTAGGCAAGTTCAGAGTTCTCACTTCTAATCAATAAAACATCACTCATTTCCCTTTTCTGTACCAGAAGAAAACTTTAAGAGGCCTGGACAAATCAGTTTTCCATTTCATTCTTCTGCTAGAGTTTTTGCCATTGTTTCCTAGGATTTGTTCCATGGATTTAACTGCTCTGTAAGATGCTCTGAGTCTACAAGAAGAACTGCTAATAAATAACTTCAATAAAATAATCAGTTTCCACTGTACATGTTATGCCTCCATTTTCAGCTTTCAGGGGATAATAGCATGGATAAACAGGGCTGGTTTTTAATTCCCACAAAGCCACCAGGCACAACGGTCAGTGGGTTCGAAGACCAGGCTGCCCCTTGCCACTTGAGCCACTCCACTCCCCACAACCGGCGTGGAACTGGCCCCACCACTTGTAGGTCAAGTCCCTGGAGTCCCTGCTTCAGGCCCTCTTCACCCTTTGAAGGACAGTGAGAAGCTATTTATTTATTTATGAAATTTGTATGCCATCCAGTTACTAATGGCTCTGGATGGCTAACAGCATAAATAAATGGATGACCCACTCTGGCTGCAAATACAGTAATAAAATTCAATATTAAAACATATTAAAATATTGATTAAATAAAAAGGGCTTAACCTGGCGCTGAAAAGCATATAATGACGGCGCCAGGCGGGCAAATATGGAAGAAGGCGTTCCTTAAGGTATCCTGGTCCCAAGCTGTTTAGGGCTTTATAGGTAATAACCAGCACCTTGAACTGAGCCCAGACTTCGATGGGAAACCAATGGAGCTGATACAGGACTGGGGTTATATGAGAATAATGCACAGTCCCCGACAGCATCCTGGCAGTTCTATTTTGAACCATCTGAAGCATCCGGACTGTCTTCAAGGGCAGCCCCACGTAAAGTGCGTTACAGAAATCCAACTGGGAAGTAACCAATGTGTGTGTTACTGTTGCTAGGTAATCCTCCAGGTAGGGACGCAGCTGATAGATTAGCCAAAGCTGAAGGAAAGTGCTCCTCGCCACTGCTGGCACTTGAACTTCCAAGGACAGCTCCGGGTCAAGGAACACTCCCAAGCTGCGGACCCTGTCCTTTAGAGGGAGTGCAACCCTGTCCAGGGCAAGGCCCAAGTCACCTACCCAGGAGCTCGAATCACCGACCAACAGAACCTCTGTCTTGTCTGGATTGAGTTTCAGTTTAATTGGCCCTCATCCAGCCCATTACCTTGGCCAGGCAGCAGTTCAGTACAGCTACTGCCTCACCTGGGTTAGTTGAAAAAGAGAGGTAGAGCTGGGTGTCATCAGCATACTGATGACTCCGCAGCCCAAACCTCCTGATGACCTCTCCTAGCAGTTTCATGTAGATATTAAATAGCAAGGGGAACAAAATGGAACCCTGTGGTACTCCATGGCAGAGTTGCCATGGCACAGAGCCAAAGTCCCCCAGCACCACCTCCAGGAATCGGCCAGCAAGGTAGGAGCAGAACCACTCCCAAGCAGTGCCTCCTACTCCCAATCCCGCTAGCCTATCAATGGTATCGAAAGCCGCTGAGAGGTCCAGGAGAACCAACAGGGACGCACTCCCTGTCTCTCCCTGCACAGGTCATCATACAGGCCGACCAAGGCAGATTCAGTACCGTACCCAGGTCTGAAGCCAGACTGAAATGGGTCCAGATAATCAGTTTCATCCAAGAGTACCTGGAGTTGTCCCACCACCACCTGTTCCAACACCTTGCCCAAAATCAGGATGTTGGCCACCGGTCTATAATTGGCGGCCATCTCTGGATCCAGAGATGCCTTCTTTAGGAGAGGCCTGACCATCGCCTCCTTTAGAGAGGCAGGCATCCGGCCGTCCCCCAGAGAGGCGTTAATAACCTCCAGGATCCAGGAACCAATCCCATGTTTGGCTTTGGTCAGCAGCCACGAAGGGCAATCGTCAAGTAAGCAGGTGGTAGGACGTACTTGTCCAAGCACCTTGTCCACATCATCAGGCCACATTAACTGAAATTCATTCATTAATGCCTGACCAGACAGGGTCATTGGTGTCTCCCCTAAGGGATCTGAATCAATTGTGGAGTCCAGCTTGTGACGAATCTGAGAGATTTTCTCCTTGAAGTGCTGGGCAAAGTCATCACAGCGGGCCATCGATGGTGGTACAGGATCTTTCTTAGGGCTGGGGTATATCAGCCCATGTACCACTCGATAAAGCTCTGCTGGATGGCACTGTGAGGAGGCAATGGAAGTGTAGAAGAATTTCTTCTTTGCAGCCCTCACCGCCACAGCATAGGCTCGATAATGAACACGTAAGCATGTTTGGTCAGATTCATCCCGTGATTTCCTCCACCTACGCTCCAGTCGTCTCCCAACCCGCTTCATTGCCCATAATTCTGATGTATACCATGGACGGGCTCTGCTTGGCAGGAGAGGACGCTTAGGGGCGATCGAGTCAATTGCTCTGGCCATTTCCCCATTCCACAGTTCAACCGAGCATCAACAGGACCGCCAGCTTTATCAACCGGAAACTCCCCCAGAGCTTTCAGGAATCCATCTGGATCCATCTGGCTCTGAGGGCAGACCGTCACAATAGGGTCCGCACCCTTACAGAGGGGAAGGCCTGCTCCGAGCTCAAACCTCACGAGGAAGTGATCTGAGCATGACAAGGAAGTCAGACGCAAATTCCTCACCCTCAAATCACCCTCTTCCTGCCCCGTCAAGAAAACCAGGTCCAGCGTGTGACCATGTTCATGGGTCGGGCCAGTGACATGTTGAGACAGCCCCATGGCCGTCATGGAGGCCATGAAGTCCTGAGCCGCCCCGGTCAGAACAGTCTCGGCATAGAGAATGAAGTCCCCCAGGACCAACATCCTGGGGGTCCTCAACACCAGGTCCGAGACGATCTCCATCAGCTCAGGCTGGGAGTCTGATGGGCAGAAGGGTGCAAGGTACACCAGCAGAATCCCCAATCTGTCTCGATCGCCCAGCACCAGGTATAAGCACTCTAGGCCTGGTCTCAAGGGAACAGGAAGCCCCGTGAGAGAAATAGAGGCTCGGTGAATTAAACCGACCCCCCTCCCCTCCCCTCTGGACGTGACTGGTGCAGGACTAGATAACCGGGCAGGCACAGCTGAGAGAGGGCTACATCCCCACCCTCTCCCACCCAGGTCTCTGTAATGCAAGCCAGGTCAGCCCCCTCATCCACAATTAAGTCGTGGATGAGGGATGTTTTATTATGGACCGACCTGGCATTAAGCAGCAGCACCGTCAGGCCAGAGGGGCGGTTGATAAGCTTACCTGGAACCTTCTGGATGTTGAAGGCAAGACCTCAGACCTTACCTCCAGGGAAACTGCACGATGCCTCTGTTTCCTTGCACTTCGGACACCAGGTGGAAGGGGGAATTTTAAAGAGCTTTTGGGGCATCCCAGGGCTGAGCATTCCACCTGGTTAAGGTTAGATAGTGAAAGCCAATTAATAGTTACCACCTAATCACTAATCTACCTTTTGGTCACAGTTTTAAAGAAATCTACAGACTTCCCTAACCAGCAGGTAGCAGTGCGGTTCATCCCGTTGGAGGTGAGGGGAAATTGGCCGGCTGAAGGGCTTGCTTCTGCCTGTTGTGGTGCAGCCACCGTTTCAGGCGAATGGAGGAGACAGACCCTTCCTTCAGGAAGCTATGGGGTGCCCCATGGCAAGTGCAATGTTCAGGGAAGCTATTTGGCATGGCCTCACTTAGGTGAGGCAGGCACAGTGGGCAGCTGGTGAGCTCTTCTAAAAGCCAAGTTCATTTACTAATGAAGAATTAAATAAAATACAGGCTAAGAAAGGGAACTGCCAGCTAGTCCCTGCCATCAACAGCGGTTGCACGGATGGGAAAAGAAAAGCAGCCACGGTGGGTTCTTTTCCCTCCTGGTTGTGCTGCCACACATTCTCAATTACCCATGCTGGATGCAAGTTGCTGGGTCACCTCAACTTGGCCAGGAAGATTTCCAAAGCAGACTAGAACCCCAGAAGCTCTTTTCCAGCTCAGCCTGGAATATGGAGATAATACTGATCTATCCCAAGCCCTTATCAAGTAGTTTCCACATGGCCTGCAACTCTCTGCTCTGGGAAGCTAAGCATGGTTAGGCCTGGTTGGAATCTGGATGGGAGACTTCAAATGTTGGGAACCATCCAAAGAGCTTCAGCTATGGACGATAGAAATATAATGCTATTCCTCCTCCTTGCTACATATGCATTGCTCTTTCCACCACAGCGCCTTACATCCAAGACATTTTAGCAGATTCCCCCAAATCTGACCCAACCAAACCTGACCTTTTGAGAAAGGAGGAAGCAAGAGAAGAAAAGTTCACTCAATTTTGTCCTTTCAGTCATCTGCACATTTTACCAAAACCAAGAGCAAACTAGCTTGTTAAAGCACATTTTATTGAAGTAATTCTGAAGGAAACTTTCATATCGTAAGTAAAAATGCTAAAGTTGAATGTTGTAAAAAAAAACAAAACAAAAGACAAACACACAACAATGGGATTTCATGTAGAGGGAAAGCTGTGGGTATTTTAAATACATTCCCTTTCAAATTAAAAAAATGTTAAGGAACTGCAGTATAGTTTATCAATTTTATAGAGATAAGAGAACAGAAACAAAAGCGTATCTAAAAGAACAGAAAGCTACAACGGAATAAACTCATTTGCAGCACAAGGGAGAGCTTTAAATCTTGGCCCATGTCAAAGGCAGACAATTTTTGCCCCAATGTTTGGCAGGTCCAAAATGATGTGACTATGAAAATTCAAAACAAAGTGTAAGAGAAAAATAAGCAAGTGAGGGAAAAAATTAAGTTTTTGAACAAACACCATCCTTTCTTGAATGAATGAAGCTCCACCCTAAAGTTCTCCTCTTTTTGCCCATACAGAGCCGCTGCAACCACCATGTTCTCGATTTTCTCCCTACTCCCACAATAACCTTTAAAAATGTACACTGAAAAGAGTGAAAAACACACAGATGGATTCTCAACATGCAGGACATTTTGCCATTTTAAAACTGTATAAATAATGAGCAAAGCCAACCGCTTCAGTGCTGAAATTTGACTGTGAACAACTTGTCCAGTAAGATGCTTTATCACTTGAAGAGTTTTGTGCGTTTTTTTTTTTTTTTTTATAGTCATGCACTTGCACCTGTTGGACAACCTTTCAAAGTATAAAGCACTCTTTCACTTCCCAATGCCCCCAAAAATGTTGGACTATACCTCCCAGAATTCTTGACCACACAGAAGTTGTAGTCCAGCAGGACAGCCATTTGGGAAAGGTTGCTCTCAAACATTTTCAGCTGAAGTTGGTAACATGGTTGGTTCATTTCTCAAAGGCACCGTGAGCAGAAAACTCTCTGGGACAAGAATTTATGAGAACCTGTGGCCAAAGCAGCACTCATAGCAGTTTCAACAGGGCCTGTACAAGAGAAATTGCTAAGTGATACCTGCCAAATTCTGGCCAAGGCAATCCTAGCAAAATAGTCAAAAGGAACAATTAAATGCATGGTTTTACTGGAATTGTTTGTGTGTGTAATTGAGAAACTGACCACATTTCATTCAGTTGTGTTTAACAGGTACTATCTTGTAGCAGATGTGGTGAAGTAACACTCTCTTTGAAGTTTTACTTCACAGAGGTCATTGATGCCATTTTTGTAATTGGTGTCCTAGAGTTGCCAACATAATTACTGCTGCTCAAACGGAGGTTGACCCTCTGCATCTCCAGAGTTTGTTCAGTTTTTTGCTTGTGGTTGCTTGTCTAAATCTGTCTCTCATCCTAAATAAATCTAATTATTCAGAGTGCAGGTTCTCTACTTAGGCAATGAACTGTATGGAATAAATAAAAATGATGAGGTGCTTTTTTAATTGTCAATGCTGCTGGCTACTTCTGGAAAGTTTGGTGCATATTCGTAAAAACCTAAAATGCCATTTGTATTCAGAAGAAAAAGCTTTTTTAAATTTGAATAAGGTTTAGGAATGGATTCTTGTGTTCCTTCCCAAAATCGCATCAGAGATTCCAACTCAAAAATGCATCAGGATTGTTTTAAATACACAGCCTGTGAGGCTTCCTACAAATTCAGCTAAACCGTAGTACAAACATAGTTTGTAATTCATGTATCATAGAGAGTTCTCTAGTGTCCGTCGAAATTAAAGATCCCCAAAATGCAGTCTGATTGGTTGCTGTAAGTGGACAAGCAAGCCATTACAACCATTATGCTGTTCCACTGGCAGAGTAAGAGAACTGAGGGAAGTGTGGTCGTCGCTCGTTATCAACACAATCCATACTGTCATCTGGAAACAAAAAGAAAGAGAGAGGGTGGGGGAGAGAGGTTATTATAACAGACTTTACAGCAGACTTCAGGCTCCTGGAATGCATCTGTTTTTTTAAATCAGAACCCTGAGATCCACCGACTGCATCATGGTGCAAACGACATTACTTTAGAATTAAAGGATTCAGAACCAGAAATCTGTTCTGCGTACCAGGAAAGAGTTCCCAGTTCTTTCATTCAACAGCCTGCTCCTGATCACCTCAAACTCCCCATTTCAGCTGTATAATTTAGGGTTGTGGGTGAGTTCTATTGCTGGATCACGTGTGAGACACTCAGAATCCTTGCCAGTTTTGCCGTAGGTCACTTCTACCAGAAGATCAGATCTCATTTCTGTCCACTTTATCTTTATTGGGCAACTCTACCAAGTCACAATGACAGAAAGAGCTGCTGCCCCAAAGCACCTACAGCCTAAATTTCATCAAGCCAACAATGGGAAAGGAGCCTAGAGTGGATAGGGAGAAGCAAGGATAATCATGATAAATATACACATCTAAATGTATATTTCGACTGAGGGGTACAACTTCATGGCTACTGAGGAGGGAACAGTGGACTCAAAAAATATTCTGAACGTCCTCTTGCTAAAGGTGTCTTGGATAGTAACTACTTTGTGTTACATTAGTAAAGGAAATCATCAGGCTTGTGTTCAAAAAAAATATAGTGTAGCCTTCCCTAAGCTGGTACCCTATAGGTATTTGACTACAACTCCCAGGATCCTCCAGCTAGCTGCACGAAGGCCCCTGTAGCTTCCCCATGTGGCACAGTAGATCATGGCAACCATTTTGGTTTAAAAGTGCCTTACTGCACAACCTGAATAAGAGAGGTGAAAAAATGCTGCATAGGCAGGAACTGGTGTTTACGTCTGTACCACAACAAAGGTGCTACAGCTTTTTGCTGCCTGGTCAATCGCATGACTCACTCAGACGCCTTTCTAGCTAATCCCGGTACACGAGAGCGGACCTCCCAGTTCTCACTGTAGTTATTAACTGCATTAAGAGTCAGATGCTTTGCAAAACGTGGACATTTTTCTGTACCTCTGCAGTGCGTACCACCCTTCCGCCACTGTGACTGCCGAGGCTCTCCTGGGAACTGTACTTTAGGGACGCTCTGAGAACTTCCTGCTAGAAATCTTGCCTGCCTCCTCTCCCAGCTCAGAAATGCAGTTCCCTGGGAAGAGGGAGTAACTGCAAAGCAGCTGAACGTCTCAGCGTATTTCGGGCTGCAGCCTGATTTGCTGGGCTGCAACCATGCCGCATACCAAACAGCTGTTCCGATTTCGATGGTTTCAGCCCATGCGGAATCTGGCTGGTGTGCAGCGCCTGACACTTTTGCTGCCAACCTATTTGTCCACGCAGGCTTTGCCTCGAAACTGGGTTACTCATATTCCATGCACTGGGGGTATTACTGTACTCCCCCATTTTACTGTTTCACTGGTCAATGTTATATAATTTTACTGTGCTTTAGTGCTTTGTATCCCTCTTCAGGACTGTTTCAAGGAAAGAGTGGATAATAAATATCACAAACAAACCAAGTGCAGGCTCTGACCCCACTCCAGATCTTGTTGGGGCTACAACTCACAGCAGCCTTATCCAGCAACACCAATGGTCAGGGATGATGGGAGTTGTATTCCAACACCATCAGGGAGCTCACACACTGCTCAGTCTGGTCTGCAGTAAGAAAGGGTCCTGATTTGTTTCTGCTGAAACCCTGCAAGGCCAGGCTGGCCTGTTTCTGCAGAGCCCAGACTGGGTCGCCGTGTGTGACCCTTTCACGAAGGCATGCCTGGGCAATGCCAAACAAGCAGCCAGTGGGGTTTTACCTTGGTCAGGGGGGGTGATTGTGATCATCTGCGCGGTGAATTCTTCATCGAAATAGCGTGTATCCGTTTCAGACGTCACCTGTGGTTTGAAGGGAGGTACCAGCTGGGAAAAGAAAAGACGAGCTTGGCATGAGTGCGGAAGCAGCTCTTGAGAGCACAGCTATAAAATGATGGAACGCTGCTGGATTTCTCTCCGACAGAAGGCCACGTTTAGTTTGGGGGGTTGTGTGCAGTGATGGGCAGGAACAGAAGCAAACATGGGTGGAGCCAAAGACAAAAGGGGCAGGGCAGGAATACCATAAATATCAGATTGTTTTAGCGTCACAGTTTTACTGTCAGAAAAGAAAGAATGGGAGAATGAACTGCATAAATGCTGGGAAAACAACAAACGATTGGCAGGTCAAGGGCGCCCAGCCAATGGGACCCCTTGCCCCTGGAGGTGTGCCAGATTTTATCCATGGGCCTAAGGTTCATCACCCCTGCCCTGCATCTACTCAGCATTAGGGCTGGCCTTACCATTCGGCAGGGTGAGGCCTCCAGGCAACAAGAGCAGAAAGCGCTGGCTGAGATACAGCGTTTTCCCTGTACTCGCAAGGAAGCCTCATGTTCAGCCCCACAAAAGATGCCCTCCGATTGCCTGTGTTCCACCATGTTCAGCCCACACAAAGGTTGAGCATGGGGTGAATGTTGGTTGTTGCTGAAACAAGGGTTGTCATGTTTCCTGAACCCAGATATAAAACCCAGATATAAAACAAACCATGGTGAACAACACAAAGCTCACAACCCAGGAACAAACCATAGGCTTTCCTTATAGGTTGCTTGTGGTTAAACCATGGCTTGTTAAAACAGCTGCGTTCAGGCAACATCTGAACGAAAGCCCTCGGTTCAACAACCAACACTCAATCCATACTCGGCCCTTGAATGTGGGTTTGCCTGTTGTCTGAATGCAGGCCCTGTCTCCTCGCTGTTGTACATGGAACAGAGGGAGGTGCCATTGTGTCTTCTTGGTCCAGCCCTACCTCACACACCCAGAAAACCCAGTTATCTCTGCCCTTCTATCTGAATGCCTGCCTCCCAAGTAGCACAGGATAGTACAAGTCAGGGTTCCTTGACTTTTAAAGAAATATCCTCACAGCATCCCTGTTGAGGCGGGTCAGGGCTTTGTGGTGGAGCAGAAAGCTGAGCTCCAAACCCTTTCAAGTGCCTGTATAATATTAAGAGAGGTGGAGCACGGAAGCCTGGATTATGCCACGGTTCACTGTGTGATGGAGTGTCAAATTATCCTCTGCTGACAGGGTGGATGCAAACTAGAGTGATGGCGAGGAAACCCTGTGTCTAAAGGTGCATTTCTTCAAAGCAAAAGCTAGGAAACCCCTTATTATTTGGCAAACTGGTGTTGGGAAGTTATATATTTTACATTTTCATATAAAAATGTAATGTGCAAGCATATTTCGGAGAGCAAATAAAAACATCTATCTACAGAGTATGCCATCTTATCTTTTTAAAAGATCTTTTTGCTCTTCACACCCTTCAAAACAATTATTTACCCTTAAATGCCGCTATACTGCAGCAAACCCCAATAGCTTGAACACTGGGTTGGTTGTTCGCTTCCAGTATGCATTTTTCTGCCATAAAAATGGGTGAACCCTTTCTACCCTCTTTTAGATACACCTAAACCAGGCCTGTTTATCCATTAAAACTCTGTGGTGCCTTTTAACATACCATTACACCTGCTTGTCTTAATTAAATGACTGATGAGCTTCCTCACCATCTTATTTAATGATTGTGGTAAGTGTCTCGCCTTTCATTTCCTAATTAAAATTCACCATCCTTGCTGTCTCTCCTTTCTTTGCTGCTAGCTCATTCCAAAGCTTCCACTTAATGTAATGGTAGTTTTGGCATTTGATCTGATGTCCGTTCACTTCTGAAATGATTGCCTGCTGCAGAGAACTCAAGAGAATGGCTGGCTGATTTGGAACCCAAGATCCAGAGAGCAGACAATTTAACCTTCGGCTTCAGACAGGTTGGCAGCAGCTTGCTGACTAATAGAAAAATTTGTCACATGTATTTTTTAAACTGAGTGATCTCATTGAGGTAGGACGGCTTACAGAAACAAGCCTAAGCACAGGATTTTGGAGGCAGCAGCACAGACCCAAAAAATGATGTTTATTTATGAAGTCACCTTCCCTGCTCAGCCAATTTAAAAGTAAGCCACCTCCCCTGCCATTCATAATGTAATGCAGAAGTGAGCACATGGAGTGATAGAACTGAGCACAGAGCTTTCTGGGGTGACCCGAAGGTATGGTTTAGTGTCAGGTAACTGAATCTCTGATGCGTGTGTTTGTTCACCCCGTCCCATCGCTTCAGCAGGATGGGTTCCAGGGAGAAAATTGGAAGCACTGTCCCCCTTTTTAAACTCATCAGAGTTTTTCACTACATTTGAGCTCAAAGCAATGCCAAATATTTTTAACTATGGTTAGTTCAGACAAAGCAGGAAGAGCATTTTACTTGCCTGGATTGTTCACTAGCCATATTTTGAGCTCAGTCTAGGCTCTCGAGTGCAGATATTTTGGGAAGTTTGGTCAATTTAAAAGCAGAAAGCTATTTGGATCAGGGGCTGACAACTTGGAGGGACAGGAAGCCACAATGCCTGAGCAGGATGACACACACCCAACCCCCAATGCTGCTGTTGCATGTTCTGCAACGTTGGCAGCAAGCTTTCCTCATGATGCAGCTTGAAAATACAGACACGTGAGGAACATCTGAGAGGGATGGTTTAACTTGGCGCCATGCACTGAGCATGGGATTAGACCCAAAGCCCTCATGTCCCTCCAACTCCACTATTCTATGATTCTAAGTCAGAGAAAACAAGACACTCCGAATGCCGGAGACTTCTGGAAGTGTGACTCTGCTCGTGATGAAACACATGCTCCCTGCAGGCCTTGCTTTCCAGGGAAACCACAAAGGCTTTTGTCATTGCGGGCCAAACTCAGCAGGGCCATTTTTGCAAGGGCTGGACATTCACACCTGGAAACCTACACGGGACCCGCCTGATGTGACGCACTCTGCAAGGAAAGGGCCTTGCAGCAGAACAAGCTCCAATCAAAACTGCCATGCGGGGTTTAAAGACAAACCTATTAAAGAAGAAAGGGGGTGGGTGGGGGGGGGGGAATGCCAGCCATCCTAATCTGCCATTATGGTCCTCTTGACTGTCTATATGGGCTAAGGGTACCTTTTGTACTCATAAAAATGCTGGACAGCTTCCCAACTTAGCCTGGGAGCCAGAGATGCTAAATCTGCATTCGTAACAACAAGGCGATGGCAAGCCAAAGACAGAGAACCGGAATCTCAACTCGGAGTGCAGCGTGCATTGCTCAGAAGGGACGCCATGGAGGAGGAGGAGGAATGTGAGTCTCTCCAGGATGCAAGGAAGCCTCTCATCAGAGGCAGCTGCACTTCTCCAGTCTGTGGCGAGAATGGCCTGCCGGAGCAGTCCCAGTAGTGAAAAGGCACATTGCTTACAAGACCATTCCAGTGAGCTCAGTGAGGCCTAAAGGTATGTATGATCCGACTGTAACCGTGGAGGAGAAGAGCCACGCTCAGCGGCAGCGTGCCTGCATGCAGAAGGTCCCTGGTTCAATCCGCAGCATCTCTTGGTAGGGCCAAGAACCTGCCCGAATCCCTGCAAAGCCACGAGTCAGCAATATCGATCTAGCAAGGCTGATGGTCTGACAGGGTGAAGTTCCATTCAGATAAGCCACTGAGGTTCGCAAGAGCCTTCACTATTGAGGGACAAAGGCGCCAGGGCCAGGGCCAGGGCCAGGGCCAAAATAATAATGAACAACCCCCCACCCCCCGGCCACCAAGCCGAGCATATTTTGATTTAACAGCTCCTAGTGTCAGTAACTAAGCTTAGGAGAAGCTCAGCTTTTAGGATGGGTGTAACTGTACAAAGTCAGAGAACCAACCAGCTAGAAGAGGTAGTTTTACGCTGGGTAAAGAGTTCAGGACTCAAACTCTGTGGCCCCAGAAGACCAGATTAGTACCCCAGGAGGGGCAGATTTGGCCCCCAGGCTTAGGGCTTTGCACCTTTGGTATAAGGCAGGTTCTTTTGTTCCTAACACTGGAATGCAAATTGTCTCCTCCTGCAATGAAAAAAAAGTCTCAGCTAACATAGAAAATAAATGTTATCTATCGGCAAAAAAATTAAAAATAGGACATGACCCAGCTTTTTAAGGGACAAAGCAGAGGTGTGTGCAAATCAGACAGAACCCGGCCAGCTCTCTGCCCCAATTCCTCCTATTTCCTCTTTTAGCTCAGCTGCAAGATGTGTGAGGAATGCAGGGGTGGGGGCGGTGGGGGGTGTGCACAGGAAGGCACGCTGGCTTGACAGGGGTGATAAGAAAGATGATGACTAGAAATGCTGCATGTGACTGCTACCGCCCTCTCCCTGTAATTGCAGGAGGCCTTTTTAACTACCCTGAATCGCAATACACTTGGACGGGTGTACATGGGCCCCAGTATTCAATGAAGCATCAATAGAAGAAACCAGCCAAAAGAACCTGGGAAGAGCATGGAAAACGAACAAGGGATCAGATTCAGGGTCCATCTCGTCCAGCACTCTGTTCACACAGTGGCCAGCCAGATGCGCACAGGATCCCACAAGCAGGACTGCAGTGCAGCAGCACTCTCCTGTCCATGTTCCCCAGCAATGGGTGTAGATGAGCAACCAGCTTCTGATGCTGGAGGAAGCACAGAGCATCCAAGCTAGTGGACTTCTTCAGGAATTTGCCCAATTCCTATTTAAAGCCAGTTGCATTGCTGGCCTTTACAACATGCCAGGCAATTCCACAGCTCAGTGATGTGCTGTGAGAAGACCTTCCTTGTATCTGTCCTGAATCTCCCACCCTGCAGCTTCATTATGAGAGGGAGGGAGGGGGGGAGGGGGGAGGGAGAGACGTGTCTCCCAATCTACTTTCTTTACATCGTGCATAATTTTGTCTTGTATCCACCTTTTTCCTTAGCAAAACAATGTCACCTGTTGTAAATCTTTCTGTACAAGTGAGTTGCACCAGCCTCTTGCGCATTACAACTGTACTTTTCTGCACTTTTTCTAACCTTACCATCCTCCTCTAGCTGACAAGAAACGTACACGGTATTTCAAGGGTAATAAGGGATTGGCAGCTTTATTTTACATCCCTTCATGTAGTTTGCCTTTTTCACAGCAGTCACGCACTGGGCAGACATTTCTACTGGGCTGCTCAGTACAACCCCAAAATCCCTGTCTTGGCCAGTCTGCAGTAGCTGAGATCCCCTCATCTTACACCTGAAATTGGGATTTTTTCGCTCCAGCACGCATCACTGTACATTCACTTTCTTGAACCACATTTCCTGTTGTGATGTCCATTCTTCCAGACTGGAGAGAGACGTTTGCAGCTTCTCATGGTCTCATTTCGTTCAAACTACCCTAAATACTTAGGTGTCATCAGCAAACCTAACCACTTCATTGTGTTCTCCTAACTCGAAACCATATATAATGACGTTCAAAAATTCTGGTCTCAATGCAGATCTCTGTGGGACCCCACTACTTTCACATGTCCATTGGGAGAATTTTCCATTTCTTCCTACATTCTGTTTTCTGTTCATTAACCAGCTACTAGCCCATAAAAGGGCATGCCCCTCTTATTCAAAGACAGCTATATTTGCCCAGGAGTCTTTGTTAAACAACTCTGTCAAAAGCCTTTGGGAAGCCCAATTAAACAACATCAACCAAATCGCCCCCGCCACATTTTTATTAACGTCCTCAAAGAATTCTAAAAAGTAAGTTAGCCAAGGGAGATGGACAGATTCCATAAAGGAAGCCACAGTCCTGAATTTAGAACAGCGAAGCAGGGGTGTCATGAATAAGACACTCGGGAGAGCTTTTATTCACAGGGTCACCTAAGTCACGATGACTTCACGGCACATAACAACAACACAAGCGAGCCAAAAGGCCAGTCCCCGTCAGTTAAAAACAGCACTCGGTTACAAACAACTGTGGGTGAGGACGCTAGAGGGCGGAAGGCAGCTGCACAAAGACCGGCTTCTGTATGGAAGGTGGGGGAACAAGCGGAAACCCAGAATGCGGGGGGGGGGGGGGACAGCGAACACCTGCAATGCATTCCAGCGAGGATGACGTAGTGTGACCCTTTATTGGAATGCCTCCGATGGCCAAGTTTCATGCAGCTATCATGAGTAAAAAGAAAAGAGAAAGATGCCAAGCAGGAAGGGATAGTGGCAGAACGGAAGAAAAAAAGAACATGATATGGCGGAGGAAGTGGAATCTGGGGATTTTGAGGCGCAGTGTATCTTTGCCTCCTGGTGATCACCAGCAAAGCAGAAACCACACGCCAGAGAGAAGCAGGAACTGGAGAGAGTTTTTCCCAACTCGGCGCCCTCCAAAAGTATGGGACTCACACCTCATCCCCAGGAACTGCTAACATCCCGGATAACACCACTTAATTTAAAAGGATTTTAGGGTCTAATTCAGGGGGCAGGCAACATGCATGGCTCCTGCCACCCCGCAACACCCACAACGCTCCTGAATTTTGGAGGTGCAGCAGCAAAAGAAGGTGATGTGCAAATCAGAGGCAAAGCTCTACAGAGCCTCACAAGCGTCAAACGGAGCTCGTCCGGAAGCTAAATGCAGCCCCTCTGAGTCTGTCCCAGTTCGCTGCTGACCTGCAGCCGAAGACTGTCAATTTTTGCCTGGGTGGCACATCAGCACCAGCACAGCCCCTAGGGGACTGCCGGTGCTGGAAATTGCCCCCCCCCCCCGCAAGCCGAATACCCTGATTCAGTTGCTGGACTGCACACTTGTTCATCTGTTAAGCACCACATAATGACCTGCATGCTTGGATGACCCATCATCCGGGCGGTCACCCCCAGCGGGAATGTTGGCATCTTCTACCTTTCAGCTCGGACGCCACATCTTTCCGGTGGAACCTGTCTGCACGGTTCATTGTGTGTCACCAAGATGCCAGGCGGGGCGTGAGCGAATGAGCCCTTGCAGAAGTGCGTGAGACAGGGATGAACAGAGGATGCCGGAGGCCAGCTGCACTTCGCATCCATATTGTGCATGGAATAGAGACACGCAGCTGGTCCACGGGGGAAGGTTCCCTGGTCCTTGCATGCAGCCATGGAGTATGTACCACAAGAGCTGCTCCAGCCAAGCAATACCTGTCTTTCTGCAACCCGGTGCCCTCCGGGTGGGTTGTCCAAGGACTCCCATTGCTCCCAGCTTTGCAAATGGGCATCTTACAGTTTTACAGCCTCAGACTGTATCTTTGTTATCTCACAGTTTGCCTGGTAATTACAGGTGAAATGTAATCAGCTGGGGGACATCAAGTAAGAAAATGTTATTTCTAAGGAAAAAGAGGAGAAATGGAATGCATGAAATTGCCATGCAGAAGAATAGAAAGAGAAACAGCGAGTCAGAAGGGGTCTCCCAGGCCATCTAATCTGACCCCTGGCTCTGCTCATGAATGGTTTATTCAACACAACAGCACTGGAGGCAGCCGAATCTAGAGGGTGCGGTTCTGCACCAAATTCTGCAAAGCCCCACGATTTCCAATGAGAGTAAAAGAGAACCAGCACGGGTGGTGTTGGACTGGTCCGAGGGAGATCCAAGTTCTAGCCCTGCTCAGCCATGGAGCCAACTGGGTGACTCTGGGCCAGTCACAGACTCTCAGCTGAACCTACCTCACAGGACTGTTGCTGTGAGGATAAAACAGAAAGAAGCCGAACTTGTAAGCCACCTTGGGATCTTTGCAAAAACAAGAACAGCAGGGTACAAATGCAACAGTAACAGCATGATTAACTGGTAGATGTAGTCTGGGTATGGCAGGACTGTGGTGTACACAGCAATTCACTGGAAAGTTGCCCCATGCAAGGTCTGCCGAAAGTTTTACTTGCAAAGCTTCTCCCAAAGAAATTTTGGATTTGTAGTTTCCTTAGGTTTGAGAATTTGGTTATTTCCTACTTCCTATTTCCATGGTTTTCTGCACAGAGGAAATAGCTATAAACCAGTTTAGATCTCCCTCCCTCCCTCCCTCCCTCTCGATCTCTCTCTGTATGTGTGTTCTCTCCCTGCTGGAGTGTGTTAAAAGGTGTTTGGAAGCATCACACACAATCAATTTACAAACCGCAGCTTCAGACAGAAGTCTAAGTACCTTTTTTTCATATACATCCTGCCATACGATGCCAGCAAAAAATTTGTGCTGCATAATTTCCTTGGCATCATCCGGTCCGCCGCCTAACCTATTGGAAGAAAAATCAACCAACACTTAGCACAGAGCATTTATTGTATCTCTCTCTACTCTGCTTCTAAAGCATCATTTTGTAAACTGGGAGGCAACGAGGGAGCTCTAAGCCAGGAGGGGGGATGTTCTGCTGCTCTGGGCCCCCATTTCACTCCCTCCCCACAGAACTCAGCAGGGACCAAGCACCCCCGAACTGTTGCTACACAGCTGGATCTGCCACTGGAATTTGGGGCAGGGGAAACACTGCTCCCCATTCCTCACTGCCATCTAATGTTGGCTGCAAATTCAGCAGTGGGGGGCAGGACAGGGTCGCATGCTGCAGATCCCCGATTGAAACCATGGGGAGAAGGGAGGAGATGCCTATTCCCTGAGCCTTTTAGCCTCTAATATATTGTTTATGCCCTGCAAGCACTGAAGAATATTAACAGTGGCAGATGCTTTAGAGGCTGCTGTACCTAAAAAACCCTAATGAAGAAACAGATTTGGAGACCAAGTCAGATCATCAACCTGAAGTGCAGTTCAGTCCACAGACCAAACTTCATGGAAGGGAAGAAGCATCATTTGCTTTGCAGGGTTCCACTTTCTACTAAAGGAAGGCATCTGAAATGGACTGTTAAAGCAGCCAATGACAGACGGAAGAAACACCGCCAGGGGTACATGGATGTTTCAAGGATACACAAGGCTTTCCAAAAAGGATCATTTCAATGATTCCTAGAAGTTGGTCTGGATGCAGGGCCAGCTCCAGGAGTTGGAGGGCCCCTGGACCAGAAAGCCTCCAAGGGCCTTCTGGTTCAGCAAGTCTATCTTCGCAGCATGATGGTCACCTGCTCGCCATCCTCCCCAACACCGCTACCTGGGCCCGCCAGGTAAGCAGGCAGATTGCAATGAGGGAGAGAGCAGCAAACGCAGGGTGTGCTGGTCCGTGGGGTCCTGCTGAGGTGTGGGCCTTCTGAAGGGGACCAACCATACCTGCCGGCTCTGTTTGGACATAACAGGGATCTCTGGACTACATAAGCCAATATTGCATCACTGGAGCCAATATGCAACAGAAAGTAGGTAGGGCTTAGAGAGAAATGCATGGACCTGACGCTCATTTCCCACTTGCTAAGCCAGATGTAGCAACTGAGGAAAGTGACCTCCGACCTGGCCCTGTTAATTAGCCGAGGCCACTGCCAGGCGGCGTTGTGGTTGTGAGGGGCTCGGAACCAACTGCCTCGCTGGCTTACAATCCTTCTGCTCCCTGCTTTAAGCACAGCTGCTCTGTGTGCCGCCACCTCCTGTCCATGAACTTTGCATTCAAACCCACCGTTCCATGATGCAAAAATGGAGATCCCATTCACCAAAAGGAGACCAAAAGGAGAAAAGTGGGCTGCGGGTTCCACCGCTGCAAGCGTGTGCATTCTGCAAGAAAACTGGGCCACGCTCCAAGAGCATACATGAGCGCCTCGACGGTGCTCATGACAAAAGTCGAAACCTCACCTTTGTTTAGGATCCTTCTTCAGCAAGCCCGAGAGAAGAGACTTCGCTTCGGGTGACAAGGTGCGTGGAAACCTGATCTCTTCCATGAGGATGAGTTCAAAGAGCTTCTCATGGTCCTGATTGTAGAACGGGAGGCGGCCACACATCATTTCATACATGACGACTCCCAAGCCCCACCAGTCCACTGCACGGCCGTAGTCATTGTCCTCTAGCACCTGCAAAAGTGTAGCATCCAAGCCTTCATCAAAGGCGGAATTGTTCAGATAGCCCATAAGTGAAAAATAAATGCGCGTCGTCCCCCCCATTCTTCCCAAATGGCTCTGGAATATACCCTTATTGTGGATAAGCATAGGCATGGGGTTCTTTTCCAGATACATCTGTCCACGCCTTCTGTTTCTTGCACGTCATCCAACCTGCCCAGGGGATATGGCAGGCACCCAGGTAGGCCGTGGGCAGTATCCACTGGCATCACCCCACCTCTCCTGGTTTCTGGAATGGCACAGGTCTGCCGAGCTCCCTTCTGGTGCTCTGCCCATTCCAGAAACGAGTGTTTCCACTTGCTTCCAGCACTATTTTTAAAAGCACAAAAGCCCCGTTGTGCAAGCAGTCGCTCGCATAAGCACAATGCGATGCTATCCCAAACCTGTAGTGCATGCCTGTGATTCAAGAACAGGTGAAATTATCTTTCTTATTTAAGAAAAGGGCTTGGACTGCCCTCGAGAGAAATGCATAGCTGAAGCACTGCTGGCTTAAGAAATAAAATGAGGGATTGTAGGCCCAAACTTCTGGGGGGTCGTAAACTGCTAGACCTGCCATAAATCTTCCCCTCCCTCTGCGTGGAATTCCCTGACAACTGAATGCCCAAAGGTGCCAACAAGGCTCTTCTTGGTCTCTGCAAAGACATTATTTCAACAGCCCATTCCTGAATCCAAGACCAGCCACCATTCTACTGATACAGTTTGAGTGTAAATGTTTCTATTGCATTGTTTTTAATTTCTTAATTATTAGTTGCCACTTGGGATTTTTTTCTTTAGATGTACAGCTGTTTATACATCTCTTGAACAAGAAAGTAAAATAAAAAATAAACCACCTTGAGAGCAATGGCTAGTTTATATGCAAATCACTAAATAAATAAAATACCATGTAACTGGATAGCATTAATACACAAAAAGAGTAAAATGAGCTTATCTTTTAAATATCCTCAGGACATGTGTAGTCTTAGAGTACTGTTCTGGTTTTAAGGCATTAGCTATTTGACAGGAAGATTTTTAAGCTGCAAAACCTCAATGACAATAAGCTCCTTTCCACATACAATGCGGGCCCAAAGCAAGTGGGAGCACACCCTGTCGGCCTGTTACAGAGACCTCACAAGCACCGAGAGCTGCCATTTATCAAATGCTCTTTGAGCCTTTGCTCTTTCCCCTGCCCGTCTGCTCCTTGGTGTCTCCTAACTGCTTAGTACTCTGCTTTGGAAAAAAAAAAAAAAAAAGACATTGGAACCTGGAAGACAGCCTGCAGCGAAAAGCCAGAAGCTGCCAGGTATTGGATTACCCCATGCAGGTCTATTTACAGCATCTCCTGCCGTACGATTCGCACCGAGCGACAGCTGGCTTTGCAGCTGCCCCATATATGTAGAAGACCAACACAGCTGCTTCGTCTGCCAGGATTCCAGGAGCCGGGCTCATCATCCTTTATGAGCAATCAGAGGGTTGCTGAACTTCATGGAGGGGGATTGTGTGACAATGCAGTTCACCCAGAATCAACAAATCCCAGACAGGACTTTCCCTCCATCTCAGGCCCTTCGGACTGGCCTGAAGAAAGAGGCTCTTATAGGAGATGTGGCAGCAAATACAGGAAACTACCAAGCCTGTTCCCGGTTTATAAGACCCCAAAGCTTTTTTCTGCAAGGCCACAGGACCTCTGAAGTTGGGATGACCTGCGTAAACTTCCAAAATTTTGAGTAAAAGTCCTTTGAGACATGGGAGTTGGGAGAAGAGAAGGACTCCTCCGTTTTATCCATGAAACTATTTGGCAACCAGATCAAAATGTATGTGAACCTCAAAACAAATTACAGGCAGTCCCCAGGTTATAAACAAGTTCAGTTCTGAGAAAACAGAAATGTGTCTTTAAGTCAAATTTGTAAGTGGGATCACTTATAGTTGGCCCTTCACACTCATGGGACTTGGAGGTCCAGGACCCCATGGAAATGGAAAAACCGCAAATATCTCTAGCTGTCCCTCCACAATTCACCAGTGCCTCCTCTTTGCAGCAAGGAAATGCCAGGGATTTCTCTCTTCAGAGGGGCAGGGTAAGGGAGACATGTCTCCCTCTCTACCCTGTCACTTCCTCTCTCACTCTATGGTGATGCTTTGGAGGCCCCCTCTCTCTCCTCTTTTGCTTCCTCTCTAGGATAATGACAATTTTCCGCATTATTTTTAAAATTAATTAATACAGCAGTTTGTTTGTAAGTATGAGTTGTCCATAGCTTGGACTTTCGTAATTCAGGGACTGTCTGTATCCTAGGCACCATGCAAATGACTGTGCCATTTACTTCAAAGGGTAAACAGCTGCCCTCTTCATAAGCAAGTTGCAAGGAAACACAGCCAGTCATGGAATGAACTTTACATGGTGACAAATACTCACACACCCCTTTCAGAAAAAGCACAATACTAGTCAGTGATCAGATCACCATAAATCCTGACCTGACACACCACTGTAATAACCAGCTGAATTTCTTCTAACTGCTACAGCAATGTAAAAGACTACCCAAGACTACCCAGTTTTTTGCTTCCAACAGTGGACAGCAGCCATCGATTTCCAGGAAACATACATGCAGGAGGCAATGGCAGCAGATCTCTTTCTGCACCCACTGATGGCGCCATTGCTATCCGGGGCTAACACAGCCTCCGAATACAGAAGCTCTGCCTGATTATCACGGCAAATAACCATCACCAGATTTCAGCCTCCTCCAGGCTTTGCTGTATGAAGCCAGGATGCGCTCAGCACGGGATACGCTCTCTGTAGAGCACAGGAAGAGGAATGTTTCTATCGCCAAATGTGTCTGCTGCCAGGAACCTCCACACGTGAATCGGCACCACCAGAGCGGCCACAGTGAAAGGAAACGGCTCTGCCCGCTGACGACTGCCTACAGGGGCCAGCATTGCTTTGGCCAGCCATTACAGGAACGCTCTCTCGGTTCGTCTCATTCCCAGTTATGAACCATGGATAGAGTGGGCTCATGCAGGTGCATTCATGTTTAGATAGCAGAAGTCCTAAGCACCTCAGCTTGCTTCCTTCCTTCCTTCCTTCCTTCCTTCCTTCCTTCCTTCCTTCCTTCCTTCCTTCCTTCCTTCTCCCCTCTCCTTCTGTCCTTCCGTCATTCATTCATTCATTCATTCATGCACTGCCCTTTTCTCCTTCCAAGGAACGCCAGGAGCTTACATAGTTCTCTTCCTCTTCTCACTCCTATTTTCCCAACGCCCCATAAGGTAGATCAGGCTGAGAGTCTGTGACTGGCCCAAAGTCACCCAGCTGGCTCCATGGCTGAGCGGACACTCGAACCCGGATCTCCTGCACCCCAGTCCTGCACTATGAATTACCACGCCACACTGGCTCTCGATTTTATGGCATTTGTATTCATTTTATTATTTTGTTTTATACATTGCTGTAAACCAGCCAAAGCGCTTCAGCTACCAGGTGATATAGAAATGGAATGAACAAACAAATTAATGAACTAATAGCATGTCCCAGTCAGCCATGGATGCATTTTACCCAAACTAAGATGCTGCTAGTGAGTGATCCTACTAACTGGACAGAGGGTGTTCAACTTCTCTCCCTGAAGGCGAAAATTTGTTGCATGGAAATCCTCCTGGAGCCTTGAGGTTTGGTGGCCTTATTGTCACAGAGTGCTATCCACCAGGTTCAGCAGGTGATCCAGTTATGGCTGCACCTACCCAGGGATTATCTGGTTTCTACATTCTATGCTCTTTTAACTTCCACACTAGACTACTGCAAGGCACTCTGCCTGGGGCTTCCCTTGAAGACTGTTCAGAAGCTGCAACTTGTGCAAAATGCAGCCACGAGGACACATAAATAACTGGGACCACAAGAACACATAAAATCAGTTCTGGGCTGCTTGCACTGGCTGCCTGTATGCCTCTGAGTCCGATTCAAGGGGCTTGCTTTAACCCTTCAAGTCCCATGTGGCTTTGAGTTGCAATATTCCATGGAACACCTCATGATGTGGATCCTGTTGCACGGCTCACAATAACAGTGTCCTTAAAAGTGTGGCAGGGCCTGAATTCCAGAATTAGGAACCAGGAAAAAGGGGAGGGATGGAGAATGAGTGAGGGAGCAGAAATTAGTTTTGGTTAGTCCCATTCCAAGTCAAGCTGAAAGAAATGCAGCAGGATTTCACTGAGGCTGACTTTTAAGGAGAAAATCAATGTTGTTACTCGTGTCCAAATTTCACAGGCTATGGAAGGGAGCACCTCTTTGGCAAAACTGCTGCCCTTCTTCTGAATTAGGGGAGCCTAGTTTAGGAGAGTATCATTGCTGGTTGCAAGAGTTTTCAGAGGAGCCCTGACACGTGTCCAGAAGAAGGAAAGACACTGATCACAGACACTGCTCCACAGCAAGCAGCTTTCTAACCTTGTTACAGTTCAGAACAGGGCAGCAATGAAAGAGAGGCGGGAAATCAGTTATATTTATATTGTGATTTATATTACCAGTAAGGAATATTATCCAGCCATGATTTGCAGCAATTGCTGGGGAAGCAAGACAGACTCGGGGCACCTTTTAGACAAACCAGTTACTCTGGTATGAGCTGAATTTGTTTGTTCTTAAGGTGTCACAAGACTCCCTTGGTTGTTTTTGCTGCAATGGACTAACACAGCTACTCCTCTGGAAAGCAGCTGGTGAGGGGAAAGGGAAGGCAAAAGGATAAAAAAGGTCATTTTGCTTAAAATAAGTGGCTCGTCAGGTTGGGAGCCAACAGCTCCAAGCAGCTGTGTGGGTGGAATTTGCAGAAAGAGGCACAGCAGCTGTAAACACCTCGGTGACCAATACATCTGACACATCAAAGCTGACACAGTGCGGCTGCCACCATCAGAGCACCAAATTCCAGTGTGACCCTAAAACAACTATGCAGCAACTGTACAAACAGCTTTGCAGGCTGGGTTCTGATTACAAACAGATGACAGGAACGCAAACCATGCTTTTTCGCTCGCTCAAAAAGGGCCGAGTGACTTTGTGGACGCAGGGCACTTACTCACACAGGCCGTCTGGGGGGTTTCAGTGCTGACCCACTGACCGGATGACAAAGACTACTGGAATGTTTACATGCTCAACTGCACCCCACGAAAGCTATTAAAGCAACCATTATCCCAACCCCTCCAACACTCTTTGAGCATCCAAAGCTCTTCCCCTGCAGCCATTACCTGTTTCAACATTCTAGAAGAAAGGCCACTATCATTACACCCTGCAGGAGAGGCTCAGAAAGTCTGCAGTGCCCTGGCTAGTCTCTCCCAATCTGGGGTCCACCCAAGGTTTTGAACTACAGCTTCCAGAATTCCTGATCACTGACCATGCCAGCTGAGAGGTGTACTCCCAAAATTTCTTGAGAGCACCAATCTGGGAAAGGAGACTCATAGTGTCATAAAAATATGGAGAGATCCAGGTTCAATCCCATCTCTGAAACTCACAGGATGACATGGGCCTATAGGTCTAACCTACAGGGCTGTTGTGAGCATCAAATGGGCAGAGAGAAGCTGGTTCCATGCATGAAGGACCTTGGAAGGAGGATGGGAATGAAAATGTTACAGTCAATAAATTCATGTTAGAGGGCAAGGCTGGAATGGGATGTGTCTTGCTCAAGGTCCCAGTGAACAGGTGGCTGTGGTAAGATTTGAACTAGGTTCCTTTGGGGTGGGTGGG